GTATTAGGGAAGGGAGAGGATGGAAGAGGGGAAGGGAGAGGATGGGAGTAGGGAAGGTGAGAGGATGGGAGCGGGGAAGAGAGAGGATGGGATTTGGGAAGGGGGAAAATGGGAGTGGGAAAGGTGAGAGGTTGGGATTGGGGATGAGAGAGGATAGGATTTGGGAAGGGAGAGGATGGGAGTGGGGAAGGGAGAGGATGGGAGTGGGGAAGGTGAGAGGATGGGAGTGGGGAAGGTGAGAGGATGGGATTAGGGAAGGGAGAGGATGGAAGAGAGGAAGGGAGAGGATGGGAGTAGGGAAGGTGAGAGGATGGGAGCGGGGAAGAGAGAGGATGGGATTTGGGAAGGGGGAAGATGGGAGTGGGAAAGTTGGGAGGATGGGATTGGGGATGAGAGAGGATAGGATTTGGGAAGGGAGAGGATGGGAGTGGGGAAGGGAGAGGATGGGAGTAGGGAAGGTGAGAGGATGGGAGTGGGGAAGGTGAGAGGATGGTAGTGGGGAAGAGAGAGGATAGGATTTGGGAAGGGAGAGGATAGAAGAGGGGAAGGGAGAGGATGGGAGTAGGGAAGGTGAGAGGATTGGAGCGGGGAAGAGAGAGGATGGGATTTGGGAAGGGGGAGGATGGGAGTGGGAAAGGTGAGAGGATGGGAGTGAGGATGAGAGAGGATGGGATTTGGGAAGGGAGAGGATTGGAGTGGGGAAGGGAGAGGATGGGAGGTGGGGAAGGTGAGAGGATGGGAGCGGGGAAGAGAGAGGATGGGATTTGGGAAGGGGGAAAATGGGAGTGGGAAAGGTGAGAGGATGGGATTGGGGATGAGAGAGGATAGGATTTGGGAAGGGAGAGGATGGGAGTGGGGAAGGGAGAGGATGGGAGTGGGGAAGGTGAGAGGATGGGAGTGGGGAAGGTGAGAGGATGGGATTAGGGAAGGGAGAGGATGGAAGAGAGGAAGGGAGAGGATGGGAGTAGGGAAGGTGAGAGGATGGGAGCGGGGAAGAGAGAGGATGGGATTTGGGAAGGGGGGAAAATGGGAGTGGGAAAGGTGAGAGGATGGGATTGGGGATGAGAGAGGATAGGATTTGGGAAGGTGAGAGGATGGGAGTGGGGAAGGGGGAGGATGGGAGTCGGGAAGGTAAGAGGATGGGAGTGGGGAAGGTGAGAGGATGGTAGTGGGGAAGGGAGAGGATGTGACTGGGGAAGGGAGAGGATGGGACTGGGGAAGATGGGATTGGGGTAGAGAGAGGATGGGAGTAGGGAAGGGAGAGGATGGGAGTGGGAAAGGTGAGGGGATGGGAGTGGGGAAGGGAGAGGATGGGAGTGGGGAAGGTGAGAGGACGGGATTAGGGAAGGGAGAGGATGGAAGAGGGGAAGGGAGAGGATGGGAGTAGGGAAGGTGAGAGGATGGGAGCGGGGAAGAGAGAGGATGGGATTTGGGAAGGGGGAAAATGGGAGTGGGAAAGGTGAGAGGATGGGATTGGGGATGAGAGAGGATAGGATTTGGGAAGGGAGAGGATGGGAGTGGGGAAGGGAGAGGATGGGAGTGGGGAAGGTGAGAGGATGGGATTAGGGAAGGGAGAGGATGGAAGAGGGGAAGGGAGAGGATGGGAGTAGGGAAGGTGAGAGGATGGGAGCGGGGAAGAGAGAGGATGGGATTTGGGAAGGGGGAAGATGGGAGTGGGAAAGTTGGGAGGATGGGATTGGGGATGAGAGAGGATAGGATTTGGGAAAGGAGAGGATGGGAGTGGGGAAGGGAGAGGATGGGAGTAGGGAAGGTGAGAGGATGGGAGTGGGGAAGGTGAGAGGATGGTAGTGGGGAAGAGAGAGGATAGGATTTGGGAAGGGAGAGGATAGAAGAGGGGAAGGGAGAGGATGGGAGTAGGGAAGGTGAGAGGATTGGAGCGGGGAAGAGAGAGGATGGGATTTGGGAAGGGGGAGGATGGGAGTGGGAAAGGTGAGAGGATGGGAGTGAGGATGAGAGAGGATGGGATTTGGGAAGGGAGAGGATGGGAGTGGGAAAGGTGAGGGGATGGGAGTGGGGAAGGGAGAGGATGGGAGTGGGGAAGGTGAGAGGACGGGATTAGGGAAGGGAGAGGATGGAAGAGGGGAAGGGAGAGGATGGGAGTAGGGAAGGTGAGAGGATGGGAGCGGGGAAGAGAGAGGATGGGATTTGGGAAGGGGGAAAATGGGAGTGGGAAAGGTGAGAGGATGGGATTGGGGATGAGAGAGGATAGGATTTGGGAAGGGAGAGGATGGGAGTGGGGAAGGGAGAGGATGGGAGTGGGGAAGGTGAGAGGATGGGATTAGGGAAGGGAGAGGATGGAAGAGGGGAAGGGAGAGGATGGGAGTAGGGAAGGTGAGAGGATGGGAGCGGGGAAGAGAGAGGATGGGATTTCGGAAGGGGGAAGATGGGAGTGGGAAAGTTGGGAGGATGGGATTGGGGATGAGAGAGGATAGGATTTGGGAAAGGAGAGGATGGGAGTGGGGAAGGGAGAGGATGGGAGTAGGGAAGGTGAGAGGATGGGAGTGGGGAAGGTGAGAGGATGGTAGTGGGGAAGAGAGAGGATAGGATTTGGGAAGGGAGAGGATAGAAGAGGGGAAGGGAGAGGATGGGAGTAGGGAAGGTGAGAGGATTGGAGCGGGGAAGAGAGAGGATGGGATTTGGGAAGGGGGAGGATGGGAGTGGGAAAGGTGAGAGGATGGGAGTGAGGATGAGAGAGGATGGGATTTGGGAAGGGAGAGGATTGGAGTGGGGAAGGGAGAGGATGGGAGGTGGGGAAGGTGAGAGGATGGTAGTGAGGAAGGGAGAGGATGGGAGTGGGGAAGGGAGAGGATGGGAGTGGGGAAGGGAGAGGATCGGTGTGGGGAAGGCGAGAGGATGGTAGTGAGGAAGGGAGAGGATGGGAGTGGGGAAGGGAGAGGATGGGACTGGGGAAGATGGGATTGGGATAGAGAGAGGATGGTAGTTGGGAAAGGAGAGGATGGCAGTGGGGAAAGGAGAGGATGGTAGTTGAGAAAGGAGCTGAACGGAGGATGTGTTTGGGGAAGGGAGAGGATCGGAGTGGGGAAGGGAGAGGATGGGAGAGTGGAAGGGAGAGGATGGGAGTGGGGAAGGCGAGAGGATGGTAGTGAGGAAGGGAGAGGATGGGAGGTGGGGAAGGTGAGAGGATGGTAGTGAGGAAGGGAGAGGATGGGAGTGGGGAAGGGAGAGGATGGGAGTGGGGAAGGGAGAGGATCGGTGTGGGGAAGGCGAGAGGATGGTAGTGAGGAAGGGAGAGGATGGGAGTGGGGAAGGGAGAGGATGGGACTGGGGAAGATGGGATTGGGATAGAGAGAGGATGGTAGTTGGGAAAGGAGAGGATGGCAGTGGGGAAAGGAGAGGATGGTAGTTGAGAAAGGAGCTGAACGGAGGATGTGTTTGGGGAAGGGAGAGGATCGGAGTGGGGAAGGGAGAGGATGGGAGAGTGGAAGGGAGAGGATGGGAGTGGGGAAGGCGAGAGGATGGTAGTGAGGAAGGGAGAGGATGGGAGCGGGGAAGGGATAGGATGGGAGTGGGGAAGGGAGATGATGGGAGAGAGGAAGGGAGAGGATGGGTGTGGGGAAGGCAAGAGGATGGTAGTGGGGAAGGTAAGAGAATGGCAGTGGGGAAGGGAGAGGATGGGAGTGGCGAAGGGAGAGGATGGGAGCGGGGAAGGTGAGAGGATGGGAGTGGGGAAGACAGAGGATGGGAGTGGGGAAGGTGAGAGGATGGGGGTGGGGAAGAGAGAGGATGGGATTTGGGAAGGGAGAGGATGGAAGAGGGGAAGGGAGAGGATGGGCGGCAACCAGAACTGGAATCGCCGACTTGGCTTGGGAGCGCCGGGTCCGCCCGACACGGGAGCACCCGTCGGCGACCAGAACGGGACGCGCCGACTTGGCTTGGGTGCGCCGGCCTCCGACGGGAGCGCCAAGTTGGGAGCACCCGGCGCCGATAAGAAAGGGACTCGCCGACTTGGCTTGGGTGCGCCGTCCGCCCGACACGGGAACACCCGGCGCCGACCAGAACGGTAGGCTCCGAGTGTGCTTGGGAGCGCCGGGGACGGGAGCACCCGGCGGCAACCAGTCGGCGCACCCGCCGACTTGGCTTTACATACCCCGGGGGTCGGGGTCAGTGTCGGGGTAGACGGAAGGGGCAAGGCGAAAGGATGGTAGTGGGGAAGGGAGATGATGGTAGTGAGGAAGGGAGAGGATGGGAGTGGGGAAGGGAGAGGATGGGAGGGGGAAGGGAGAGGATGGGAGTGGGGAAGAGCGAGAGGATAGTAGTGGGGAAGGGAGAGGATGTGAGTGGGGAAGGTAAGAGAATGGCAGTGGGGAAGAGAGAGGATGGGAGTGGGGAAGGGAGAGGATGGGAGTGGGGAAGGTGAGAGGATGGGAGTGGGGATGGGAGATGGGAGTGGGGAAGGGAGAGGATGGGACTTGGGGAAGGGAGAGGATGGGACTGGGGAAGATGGGATTGGGGTAGAGAGAGGATGGTAGTTGGGAAAGGAGAGGATGGCCGTGGGGAAAGCAGAAGATGGTAGTTGAGAAAGGAGCTGAACAGAGGATGTGATTGGGGAAGGGAGAGGATGGGAGTGGGGAAGGGAGATGATGGGAGAGAGGAAGGGAGAGGATCGGTGTGGGGAAGGCGAGAGGATGGTAGTGAGGAAGGGAGAGGATGGGAGTGGGGAAGGGAGAGGATGGGACTGGGGAAGATGGGATTGGGATAGAGAGAGGATGGTAGTTGGGAAAGGAGAGGATGGCATAGGGGAAAGGAGAGGATGGTAGTTGAGAAAGGAGCTGAATGGAGGATGTGATTGGGGAAGGGAGAGGATCGGAATGGGGAAGGGAGATGATGGGAGAGTGGAAGGGAGAGGATGGGAGTGGGGAAGGCGAGAGGATGGTAGTGAGGAACGGAGAGGATGGGAGTGGGGAAGGGAGAGGATGGGAGGGGGAAGGGAGAGGATGGGAGGGGGAAGGGAGAGGATGGGAGTGGGGAAGAGCGAGAGGATAGTAGTGGGGAAGGGAGAGGATGTGAGTGGGGAAGGTAAGAGAATGGCAGTGGGGAAGAGAGAGGATGGGAGTGGGGAAGGGAGAGGATGGGAGTGGGGAAGGTGAGAGGATGGGAGTGGGGATGGGAGATGGGAGTGGGGAAGGGAGAGGATGGGACTTGGGGAAGGGAGAGGATGGGACTGGGGAAGATGGGATTGGGGTAGAGAGAGGATGGTAGTTGGGAAAGGAGAGGATGGCCGTGGGGAAAGCAGAAGATGGTAGTTGAGAAAGGAGCTGAACAGAGGATGTGATTGGGGAAGGGAGAGGATGGGAGTGGGGAAGGGAGATGATGGGAGAGAGGAAGGGAGAGGATCGGTGTGGGGAAGGCGAGAGGATGGTAGTGAGGAAGGGAGAGGATGGGAGTGGGGAAGGGAGAGGATGGGACTGGGGAAGATGGGATTGGGATAGAGAGAGGATGGTAGTTGGGAAAGGAGAGGATGGCATAGGGGAAAGGAGAGGATGGTAGTTGAGAAAGGAGCTGAATGGAGGATGTGATTGGGGAAGGGAGAGGATCGGAATGGGGAAGGGAGATGATGGGAGAGTGGAAGGGAGAGGATGGGAGTGGGGAAGGCGAGAGGATGGTAGTGAGGAACGGAGAGGATGGGAGTGGGGAAGGGAGAGGATGGAAGTGGGGAAGGGAGAGGATGGGACTTGGGAAGATGGGATTGGGGTAGAGAGAGGATGGTAGTTGGGAAAAGAGAGGATGGCCGTGGGGAAAGCAGAGGATGGTAGTTGAGAAAGGAGCTGAACAGAGGAAGTGATTGGGGAAGGGAGAGGATAAGAGTGGGGAAGGGAGAGGATGGGACTTGGGAAGATGGGATTGGGGTAGAGAGAGGATGGTAGTTGGGAAAGGAGAGGATGGCAGTGGGGAAAGGAGAGGATGGTAGTTGAGAAAGGAGCTGAATGGAGTATGTGATTGGGGAAGGGAGAGGATCGGAATGGGGAAGGGAGATGATGGGAGAGTGGAAGGGAGAGGATGGGAGTGGGGAAGGCGAGAGGATGGTAGTGAGGAAGGGAGAGGATGGGAGTGGGGAAGGGAGAGGATGGGACTTGGGAAAGGGAGAGGATGGGAGTGGGGAAGATGGGATTGGGGTAGAGAGAGGATGGTAGTTGGAAAAGGAGAGGATGGCCGTGGGGAAAGCAGAGGATGGTAGTTGAGAAAGGAGCTGAACGGAGGATGTGATTGGGGAAGGGAGAGGATGGTAGTGAGGAAGGTGAGAGGATGGTAGTGGGGAAGGGAGAGGATGGGAGTGGGGAAGGTGAGAGGATGGTAGTGGGGAAGGTGAGAGGATGGGAGTGGGAAGGGAGGGGATGGGAGTGGGGAAGGTGAGAGGATGGTAGTGGGGAAGGGAGAGGATGGGAGTGGGGAAGGTGAGAGGATGGTAGTGGGGAAGGGAGAGGATGGGAGTGGGGAAGGTGAGAGGATGGTAGTGGGGAAGGTGAGAGGATGGGAGTGGGAAGGGAGAGGATGGGAGTGGGGAAGGGAGAGGATGGGAGTGGGGAAGGTAAGAGAATGGCAGTGGGGAAGGGAGAGGATGGGAGTGGGGAAGGGAAAGGATGGGAGTGGGGAAGGTGAGAGGATGGTAGTGGGGAAGGGAGAGGATGGGAGTGGGGAAGGGAGAGGATGGGACTGGGGAAGATGGGATTGGGGTAGAGAGAGGATGGTAGTTGGGAAAGGAGAAGATGGCAGTGGGGAAAGGAGAGGATGGTAGTTGAGAAAGGAGCTGAACGGAGGATGTGATTGGGGAAGGGAGAGGGTGGGGTAGGGGAAGGGAGATGATGGGAGAGAAGATGGGAGAGGATGGGAGTGGGGAAGGGAGAGGATGGGAGTGGGGAAGGTGAGAGGATGGGAGTGGGGAAGAGATAGGATGGGATTTGGGAAGGGAGAGGATGGGATTTGGGAAGGGAGAGGATGGTAGTGGGGAAGGGAGAGGATGGGAGTGGGGAAGGTGAGAGGATGGTAGTGGGGAAGGTGAGAGGATGGGAGTGAGGAAGGTGAGAGGATGGTAGTGGGGAAGGTGAGAGGATGGGAGTGAGGAAGGTAAGAGGATGGTAGTGGGGAAGGTGAGAGGATGGTAGTGGGGAAGGTGAGAGGATGGGAGTGAGGAAGGTGAGAGGATGGTAGAGGGGAAGGTGAGAGGATGGGAGTGAGGAAGGTGAGAGGATGGGAGTGGGGAAGGTCAGAGGATGGTAGTGGGGAAGGTGAGAGGATTAGAGTGAGGAAGGTGAGAGGATGGTAGTGGGGAAGGGAGAGGATGGGAGTGGGGAAGGTGAGAGGATGGTAGTGGGGAAGGGAGAGGATGGGAGTGGGGAAGGTGAGAGGATGGTAGTGGGGAAGGGAGAGGATGGGAAAGGGGAAGGGAGATGATGAAGGTTGTGGGGAAGGGAGAGGATGGTAGTGAGGAAGGTGAGAGGATGGTAGTGAGGAAGGTGAGAGGATGGGAGTGAGGAAGGTGAGAGGATGGGAGTGGGGAAGGGAGAGGATGGGAGTGGGGAAGGTGAGAGGATGGTAGTGGGGAAGGTGAGAGGATGGTAGTGAGGAAGGGAAAAGATGGGAGTGGGGAAGGTGAGAGGATGGTAGTGAGGAAGGTGAGAGGATGGGAGTGGGGAAGGGAGAGGATGGGAGTGAGGAAGGTGAGAGGATGGTAGTGGGGAAGGGAGAGGATGGGAAAGGGGAAGGGAGATATTGAAGGTAGTGGGGAAGGGAGAGGATAGGAGTGGGGAAGGGAAAAGATGGGAGTGGGGAAGGCAGATGATGGGAGAAGGAAAGGTGAGAGAAGGGCAGTAGAGAAGGGAGAGAATGGGAGTGCAGATGGGAGAAGATAGGAGTAGGGAAGGGAGATGATTGGATTGGGGAAGGTGAGAGAATGGGAGTGGGGAAGGGAGAGGATGAGAGTGGGGAAGGGAGAGGATGGGAGTGGGGAAGGGTGAGGATGGGAGTGGGGAAGGTGAGAGGATGGGAGCGGGTAAAGGTGAGAGAATTGGAGAGGAAAAGGGAGACAATGGGAATCGGGAAGGGAGAGGATGGGACTGGGGAAGATGGGATTGGGGTAGAGAGAGGATGGTAGTTGGGAAAGGAGAGGATGGCAGTGGGGAAAGGAGAGGATGGTAGTTGAGAAGGGAGCTGAACAGGGGATGTGATTGGGGAAGGGAGAGGATGGGAGTGGGGAAGGGAGATGATGGGAGAGAAGATGGGAGAGGATGGGAGCGGGGAAGGCGAGAGGATGGTAGTGGGGAAGGGAGAGGATGGGAGTGGGGAAGGGAGAGGATGGGAGTGGGGAAGGGAATTGAACTCGGCCGACTTGGCTTGGGAGCGCCGGGTCTGCCCAAGACGGGAACACCCGGCGGCAACCAGAACGGGAATCGCCGACTTGGCTTGGGAGCGCCGGGTCCGCCCGACACGGGAGCACCCGTCGGAGACCAGAACGGGACGCGCCGACTTGGCTTGGGTGCGCCGGCCTCCGACGGGAGCGCCAAGTCGGGAGCACCCGGCGCCGATAAGAAAGGGACTCGCCGACTTGGCTTGGGTGCGCCGTCCGCCCGACACGGGAACACCCGGCGCCGACCAGAACGGTAGGCTCCGAGTGGGCTTGGGAGCGCCAGGGACGGGAGCACCCGGCGGCAACCAGTCGGCGCACTCGCCGACTTGGCTTTACATACCCAGGGGGTCGGGGTCAATGCCGGGGTAGACGGAAGGGGCAAGGCGAAAGGATGGTAGTGGGGAAGGGAGATGATGGTAGTGAGAAAGGGAGAGGATGGGAGTGGGGAAAGGAGAGGATGGGAGGGGGAAGGGAGAGGATGGGAGTGGGGAAGGTAAGAGAATGGCAGTGGGGAAGGGAGAGGATGGGAGTGGGGAAGGTAAGAGAATGGCAGTGGGGAAGGGAGAGGATGGGAGTGGGGAAGGGAAAGGATGGGAGTGGGGAAGGTGAGAGGATGGTAGTGGGGAAGGGAGAGGATGGGAGTGGGGAAGGGAGAGGATGGGACTGGGGAAGATGGGATTGGGGTAGAGAGAGGATGGTAGTTGGGAAAGGAGAAGATGGCAGTGGGGAAAGGAGAGGATGGTAGTTGAGAAAGGAGCTGAACGGAGGATGTGATTGGGGAAGGGAGAGGGTGGGGTAGGGGAAGGGAGATGATGGGAGAGAAGATGGGAGAGGATGGGAGTGGGGAAGGGAGAGGATGGGAGTGGGGAAGGTGAGAGGATGGGAGTGGGGAAGAGATAGGATGGGATTTGGGAAGGGAGAGGATGGGATTTGGGAAGGGAGAGGATGGTAGTGGGGAAGGGAGAGGATGGGAGTGGGGAAGGTGAGAGGATGGTAGTGGGGAAGGTGAGAGGATGGGAGTGAGGAAGGTGAGAGGATGGTAGTGGGGAAGGTGAGAGGATGGGAGTGAGGAAGGTAAGAGGATGGTAGTGGGGAAGGTGAGAGGATGGTAGTGGGGAAGGTGAGAGGATGGGAGTGAGGAAGGTGAGAGGATGGTAGAGGGGAAGGTGAGAGGATGGGAGTGAGGAATGTGAGAGGATGGGAGTGGGGAAGGTCAAAGGATGGTAATGGGGAAGGTGAGAGGATTAGAGTGAGGAAGGTGAGAGGATGGTAGTGGGGAAGGGAGAGGATGGGAGTGGGGAAGGTGAGAGGATGGTAGTGGGGAAGGGAGAGGATGGGAGTGGGGAAGGTGAGAGGATGGTAGTGGGGAAGGTGAGAGGATGGGAGTGGGAAGGGAGAGGATGGGAGTGGGGAAGGTGAGAGGATGGTAGTGGGGAAGGGAGAGGATGGGAAAGGGGAAGGGAGATGATGAAGGTTGTGGGGAAGGGAGAGGATGGTAGTGAGGAAGGTGAGAGGATGGTAGTGAGGAAGGTGAGAGGATGGGAGTGAGGAAGGTGAGAGGATGGGAGTGGGGAAGGGAGAGGATGGGAGTGGGGAAGGTGAGAGGATGGTAGTGGGGAAGGTGAGAGGATGGTAGTGAGGAAGGGAAAAGATGGGAGTGGGGAAGGTGAGAGGATGGTAGTGAGGAAGGTGAGAGGATGGGAGTGGGGAAGGGAGAGGATGGGAGTGAGGAAGGTGAGAGGATGGTAGTGGGGAAGGGAGAGGATGGGAAAGGGGAAGGGAGATAATGAAGGTAGTGGGGAAGGGAGAGGATAGGAGTGGGGAAGGGAAAAGTTGGGAGTGGGGAAGGCAGATGATGGGAGAAGGAAAGGTGAGAGAAGGGCAGTAGAGAAGGGAGAGAATGGGAGTGCAGATGGGAGAAGATAGGAGTAGGGAAGGGAGATGATTGGATTGGGGAAGGTGAGAGAATGGGAGTGGGGAAGGGAGAGGATGAGAGTGGGAAAGTTGGGAGGATGGGATTGGGGATGAGAGAGGATAGGATTTGGGAAGGGTGAGGATGGGAGTGGGGAAGGTGAGAGGATGGGAGCGGGTAAAGGTGAGAGAATTGGAGAGGAAAAGGGAGACAATGGGAATCGGGAAGGGAGAGGATGGGACTGGGGAATGTAAGATGACTGGAGCATGGAAGGTGAGAGAATGGGGGTCGGGAATGGAGAGGATGGGAGTGGGGAAGGGAGAGGATGGGAGTAGGGAAGGGAGATGATGCAATTGGGGAAGGGAGTTGATGGTAATGGGGAAGGGAGGGGAAGGTATTTGGGAAGGGGAGGATGGGAGTGGGGAAGGGAGATGATGGGAGTAGAGAAGGGAGAGGATGGTAATGGGGAAGGGAGATGAAGGTAGTGGGGAAGGGAGAGGATGGGAGTGGAGAAGGGAGATGATGTGGTGAAAAGGGAGAAGATGCCAGTATGAAAGGGAGAGGATGGTAGTGGGGAATGGAGAGGGTGTTAGTGGGGAAGAGACAGGATGTTTATTGGGAATGGACATGATGGTACTGGGGAAGGGAGAGGATGGTAGTGGGGAAGGGAGAGGATGGGAATTGGGAAGGGAGAGGGTGGTAGTGGGGATGAGAGATGATGGGAGCGGGGATGGGATATGATGGTACTTGTGAAGGGATAGGATAGCAGTGGGGAAGGGAGATGATGGGAGTGGCTAAGGGAGAGAATGGTTGTGTGGAAAAGAGAGGATGGGAGATGATGAGAAAAAGGAATTGTGATGATGGGAGTTGGGAAGGGTGAGGATAGGAGTGGGGAAAGGGTTGGATTGAAGTCGGATGCACAGCACTCAAATATGTGGCTGTTGAAATCCTCAGGGCAAGATGCACACCTTGAGAGTATACTTTCTACAGAGGCGGCATAAACTAACCTGTACTGGCTACATACAGCACTCAAATATGTAACTGTTAAAATCCTCAGGGCAAGATGCACACCTCGAGAGTATACTTTCTACAGAGGCGGCCTAAAACTAACCTGTACTGGCTACGTACATCGCACTCAAATATGTGACTGTTGAAATCTTTAGGGCAAGATGCACACCTTGAGCGTATACTTTCTACAGAGGTGGCATGAACTAACCTGTACTGGCTATGTACATGGCACTCAAATATGTGACTGTTGAAATCCTCAGGGCAAGATGCACACCTTGAGAGTATACTTCTTTGAGGGTCAGCCTGTACTAACCTTTACTGGCTATGCATACCTTGAGATTTTACTTCCAACAGAAGTACTAGCAAAGTATACTGCAGTCAAACAATTGACTGATAAAATCGTCAGAGTAAATAAATGTCATGTTCTCACAAATGAGATACCGGTACAAGAAAACAAAACACAGCTACTGATTTAATGAAATATTTATTGTTGTAGTTGCTTGATAAGATAAATGTGTATCAAATTGGTTAAAATCAGTGTTAGTATCACCCAAGGTACTTTTAAGAAGAGATACAAGAGTAGGATATAGAGAGAGTGTGTGTGTGTGTGTGTGTGTGTGTGTGTGTGTGTGTGTGTGTGTGTGTGTGTGTGTGTCTGTCTGTCTGTCTGTCTGTCTGTCTGTCTGTCTGTCTGTCTGTCTGTCTGTCTGTCTGTCTGTCTGTCTGTCTGTCTGTGTGTGTGTGTCTGTCTGTCTGTCTGTCTGTCTGTCTGTCTGTCTGTCTGTCTGTCTGTCTGTCTGTCTGTCTGTCTGTCTGTCTGTCTGTCTGTCTGTCTGTGTGTGTGTGTGTGTGTGTGTGTGTGTGTGTGTGTGTGTGTGTGTGTGTGTGTGTGTGTGTGTGTGTGTGTGTGTGTGTGTGTGTGTGTGTGATAGAAAAGTATGGACTTTGTCAGAAAAATGGCTAATACTATGTAACATATATAAAGCACACCATTAGCTAAATGACACAACCTTAGATTCATACCAGAATGTATATATCCATCCACCCCCTCAACCCACCTAAATAAATCACCCATCCGCAAACTTAACCAACCAGCATGAAACCACCAATCCACTCAAATAACTAAGCTTACATCAAATCCCCCATCCACCCACCTTCATAAAACCACCCTTCCCCCCACTTAACCCAGCTACATAAAACCACCACTCCACCCACTTAACACCCCTACATAAAACCACCACTCCACCCACTTAACACCCCTACATAAAGCCACCGCTCCACCCACTTAACCCACCTACATAAAACCACCACTCCACCCACTTAACACCCCTACATAAAGCCACCGCTCCACCCACTTAACCCAGATACACAAAAACACCAATGCACCCACTTAACCCACCTACTTAAAACCACCACTCCACCTACTTACCCAGCTACATAAAACCACCACTCCACCCACTTAACCCAGCTACATAAAACCACCAATCCACCCACTTAACCCACCTACATAAAACCACCACTCCACCCACTTACCCAGCTACACAAAAACACCAATCCACCCATTTAACCAATCTACATAAAACCACCACTCCAACTACTTCACTCACCTACATAAAACCACCCATCCACCGACGTAACCTATATACATAAAACCAACCATCCATACACTTCATCTTCTAGAATAAAACCACCTATTCACCCACTTAACCCACCTACATAAAACCACTCATTCACCCACTTACAAAAAATCTCCACCCAAACCACTTAACCCACCAACATAAAACCACCCATCCACCAACCAACAAAAAAACTCAACTCCACCTATTTACCCAACCCACATCAAACCACTCATCCACCCACTAACATAAAACCACCCCTCCACCCACTTACGTAAAACGACCACTCCACCCACTTCCCCAACCAACATAAAACCACCCATCCACCCACCTACACAAAACCACCCCTCCACCCACTTAACCCACCAACACAAAACCCGCCATCCACCAACCAACATAAAAACCACCCTCCACCCACTTACCCAACCCACATAAAACCACCTATCCACCCACCTACTTAAAACGACCACTCCACTCAATTACCCAACCCACATAAAACCACCCATACACCACCTACATAAAATCTCCACCCAAACCACTTAACCCACCAACATAAAACCACCCATCCACCAAACAACAAAAAAACTCCACTCCACCTACTTACCCAACCCACATTAAACCACCCATCCACCCACTAACATTAAACCACCCATCCACCCACTAACATAAAACCACCCCTCCACCCACTTACGTAAAACGACCACTCCACCCACTTCCCCAACCCACATAAAACCACCCATCCACCCACCTACACAAAACCACCCCTCCACCCACTTAACCCACCAACACAAAACCCGCCATCCACCCACCAACATAAAAACAACCCTCCACCCACTTACCCAAACCACATAAAACCATCCATCCCCCTACCTACATAAAACCACCACTCCACCCACTTACCCAAACCACATAAATCCATTAATCCACCCACCTACATAAAACCACCACTCCACCCACTTACCCAAACCACATAAAACCACCCATCCCCCCACCTACATAAAACCACCACTCCACCCACTTACCCAACCCACATAAAACCACCACTCCACCCACCTACATAAAACCACCAATCCACCCATCTACATAAAAAAACCACACCACCCACTTACCAAAACCACATTAATCCACCCATCCACCCACCAACATAAAACCACCACTCAACCCACTTACCCAAACCACATTAAACCACCCATCCCCCCACCTACATAAAACCACCACTCCACCCATTTGGCCCACCTACATAAAACCACCCATCCACCCACCTACATAAAACCACCACTCCACCCACTTACCCAAACCACATAAAACCACCTATCCCCCCACCTACATAAAACCACCACTCCATCCATTTGGCCCACCTACATAAAACCACCCATCCACCCACCTACATAAAACCACCACTCCACCCACTTGGCCCACCTACATAAAACCACCACTCCACCCACTTACCCAAACCACATAAAACCACCTATCCCCCCACCTACATAAAACCACCACTCCATCCATTTGGCCCACCTTCATAAAACCACCCATCCACCCACCTACATAAAACCACCACTCCACCCACTTGGCCCACCTACATAAAACCACCACTCCACCCACTTAACTCACCTACATGAAACCACCCCATCCACCCATTTAGACCAATCTACATACACCACTCATCCAGTCACTTACCCTGCATACATAGAGTCAATTGTGTCAAACCCTTGGAACCATCCTCCCAACTACCTACGTACAGAGACCTACCTATCTACCTATCTTACTATCAACTAATGTAAAATTAACATGCACACTCCAACTTACCACTGAAGTATCACTGCGAGGCTGCCTCGGTGCTCCCTGAATGATGGGAGTTGTCAGGCAGTCTCTTTAGTGGGCGTGGCTGGGTGGACGTCTTCTGTGCAGAGGAGTTGCCTTGCTTTCTCCTCCACACCTTGCGTCGGCCACTCTGTGTATCCATGGTAACCTGGAAGGCTGCCCTCTCCTTCCTCTCCCTCTCCTTCACCTCCTGCTTCAGCTCCACCATCTCCTGTCTCAGCTCCTTCAGCTTCCTGTCAATGATGGCCTGGAGTTCCTGACGGGAGGCTTCCACCTTGCGCTGCTTGTTGCTCAACTCCTGCTTCAGATCACCGAGCTTCCTCTTGCGAGAACACCCCTGGGCCTACAAGAGACAACATAGCTTTTATCAGAAGATTCTCAAGCTAGCATCTACATTCTCTGTCACGCTCAACATTACAGACAGAACAGCTTTTTATAATAACTTGACAGGACAGCAGACAATATATTACATGCCTGTCACTTTTCATGAATGTTACAAGGTTGCTGCAATGTCAGATAAGGCTTCAATGCCTGTTTCTGATCTACTGATGTTATAGTTCAGTTAGATCATTTAATGTGTTGATAGCTTAGACCTTGAGCTTCTAGTTGGACACATGGAGAACCAGACAAGTGAGAATCAAATCTAAATCAAACAACTACTGACTTTCTGTGAAGAAGCCTCCTGATTCTCTGAAGCAACAACAGCAGTAGCAGCATCAGCATCAGCAGCAGAAGCAGGAGCAGGAGCATCAGACCTGGAGACCTCCTCCAGACTCATCCTGGCAAAGACTGGAACCAGCTGGTTCTCGATGCGGTGGTCTGTCTTTCGCTTGGTGTGGCAGCTCCTCCTTGAGGGAGGAGGCAGATGAGGAGAGTGATCATCCTCCGGAACCAGACTGTCCTCAGCCTGGTGCTCCGTGGGACGGCTCTTCCTACTCGAGGGATGCAGGCATGGAGAGTCCTTGTCATCCTAGAATGGGCAGAACATCTGGTGATGAGGGCAGAGTTGAGCATATGTATCCAACCCGTGACATGTTTGTTGTATTGTATTAGAACCATAAGGGGCAACATGTGGATGGGGAATTGCAATTTACCCAAAGCTAATGTGGAGCTAAGGTGGCTTCATATTACAATACAGAAATACTGAAGCAAAGACTTCCCATAAAGCCATAGCTAATGTGTCCATGCATTAATGACAGTACTAACCTTGTCTTCATCATACCAAACCCGGAGACCCCTTTCCTAAAATATATTTAAAAAATTGTGAGAAAAATCAGTGGAAGAAAAACACAAAATTCCATTGAACCCAATAAACCCTCTTTGACAGTAATAACCGTGATGTAAGAAAAACGCAAACTGCCTATAACAGGATAAGGTTTTGCAATGACTCATGTTGAAAAAAATATTATTAGTTATTGTTGATGTTAATTTCTGAGGCCACAGTGTCATTTATGGAGATCCTACACTGTGGGGAACGATATTCTGAGGTCACAGCACCCATGACTGAGGTCCTACCTGTGGACGTTTAAAGCTGGGTTTGCTGTAGTCCAAGGGGTGAGGGCGGCCAGCAGATTTCTTGACAGAGGGACACTTCTAGGTCATGGATGATATTAGTTTTAGATTTAGACCATAACAAATTCCCACAACATAGTTACATACTAATACTAAGAGCAGTCATTGCCAAGGTGGGAAGACCTGCCCCATCATGTATGGTACACTGATCAAATCATGCACTTGTTATCACTACTGCATCGCTCAGTCCTTACCTCGCCCTCTCACAGAATCTCCCTACATGCATCTCTCTTGGAAATACAAAGGCATAGAGGGAGATTTTGTGACGCTTCATGTGGTCTGTTCCAGATCATTATTTGCCACACAGGCATGGCCAAAGCGGTTCTTTCAATAGTGAACCATATTTAATGACTACTGACTTAAAACGAACATTTAAAATAAGGATAATTTGGGCTATTAGCTGTCTTCCACAATTTATCAATGCATGTAAAGTATTATTATATCAGTTGATATCTTTATTTCCGCAAGAAGATTAAGGTTATATTTACTAAAATATTTCTATACCTTCACAGCCTTAGGCCTGTGCTTCTTGGGCAGGGGACTCTGGCAGTTCAGGGTGACCTTACGTCTGGGCGTGGGGGTAGGGCGGTTGAGGGGGGAGACACCTGGTCTACATTTACGCTGGTTGGAGGGTCGGACATGGGGAGGGAGGTGGTGGTAAGACCTCGGGGTCCCAGAGGGACGCGGTCCTGGGGAAGGAGCGAGTGTTAATAAGGTTGGTTGGGTGCTCACACAAGACAGATGATGGGAACCGACAGTTTCATATGTTTCGCGGTATATCTATAAATATTATCGATAATTTTATTCTAGTTTCACCTCCAGAGAATAAGTGACAGTTAACCTTCGGAGTGAAAAATACCTTCGCGGAATGCAATTATTCTTGCAATGAAGCTTTGTGTGGCAGGAGAGGTGAAACAGGATGGCGTTCACGATTATTAAACTTACATAGCGACGTAGGCCTATAGCCTAGTGCTAGAGAACTTACATAGCGACGTAGGCCTATAGCCTAGTGCTAGAGAACTTACATAGCGACGTAGGCCTATAGCCTAGTGCTAGAGAACTGAGATACCCTATCATTCATATATGGGGCTGTGAACGCCGTAACGAAACCAAAGAGCTATCAAAAATGTTTGCTAATGCCATATAGATAAGGTTTTTACAGGTAACAAAATAGACAAGTTGCACACGTTGCATATTGTACCAGAACTAATAAAAGCTAAAGCGTTAGCAAAACTAATGGCATAATGTTGATAAATTGGGGATGGATTCAAAACATTTCTTGAACAAGTAACTGGGCCTAACAATGAAAGAGTCCGCCTAAAGAGTCTTGAAATATTGGCCCAAACTGCTTGCTTACTAGATCTAATACATGTGATTTAAATGTAATATTTAAATGTAATATCAGTGTTAGTGATCAGGAAGCAAGTTATACAATGTGTAAATGAAAGGCATGGAACAATCATAAAGCAACGTGAAAGTATTTATTATCATCGTATTTGGATGCCCAAGCGGAGATGGGTGGCGTGACTTGGTGGTCGCCATGACAACCAAAGATTTTCCAATATGGCTGACTTTTGCCCCGATAAATTGACATATTTTGCTAATATTTCACACATCATGTTCATATCATTCATATTATTTATGACATATTATAGGGTTACAAAAATTCATTACAAAATATAAGAAAATCCTACGTTTTATCTCAAGGAATGCGTATTTTGGAAGGTTATCCGTGCCGAGTCTCAAACAGGCTTTAGCGTTGATCATTTAGAAGTTTATACCCGGTAAATTTGACTTGATTACACACGTTCCATGACTGGACATTCCGTCATCGTATACAGGATAAAAGTATAAATCTTACACTCGCAAGTAAAATATGAAAAAGGATTTGTTTCCGCCCGAAAATATTCATGAACATAAGTAACTGTGTACATTCGTCAGAAGATACGCTGGGCGCTGCAGTAGGCTACATCGACGGTCTTGTAGTGCTAACGTTTACATTGTTCTAATGTTACCAACCAATTAAAGTTACATGGGGCTACATCACGAGGAAAGCGAATATCTCTCATAAATTACCGAGGATTCACTCACTAAAGATTGTCGAAACAAAAACTACCCTAGACTATTTCTAAAATTTATTTCCATTGATAAGTTCTTTAATTCGGGTTCTATTGACTAGGCCTAGGTCGCATTTAACATATATATCCTGAGTTTTTCCAGGGGGGGCATAAATATTCCAAAATATGTCGATGTACACCTAAATTGGACCCGTGAGGTTACTAGAATTCCTCTTACATGTCGGGCGTTACCGGGTGACAGAGCAACTATATACAGTAAATAAATCAATACTTATATTTTAATGTAAATGATTAAAAACTTACCTGAGACAAGTCTCCGAGACATCAGGAAGAATTCAGCAGACAGCTCAGGAATATGTGGTCACAGCGTAGGATTTTTCGAGAGATTACTTCGATGTTTCTCTGACGAGATACAGTGAAGAAGAAGCCGTTGTGCGTCTGTTACGTAATTTATAGAGGATGTGCGGACGGTCGAGGAAACGATTAGCAACGATATGTTGGTAACTAAGGGCGAGTCCACTTACTTGAGGGGGTAGATGAGGGCGAGTTTAATTTTAACGAAAGAATCAAAGTTTCCAAATGATTGATGTGATTGGAGTGTTCAGTTTACTATTATTCTCATAATCAACGTGTGACCTAAAGAAATGACATCAAAACAAATTTCATGGACCATGATAACACTGAAATGAAAGAAACATTCCTCCTCTCCTCTGCCTGTATGTAAACATTCTTAATAAAGATGATTATCTAAGGCAGATTGTGATAAATTTGAAAATATTACTCACTATTTGTGTCACTGCCAAACCATGTAGATCTGTCATAGGCTGGACTATTCTGTGGCAGTATTGCTCGCTGGGAAGTTCAAGATGTAATTCTTGCCCGTATTAAGGCATGTAGCAGTGTATCTACTACACAGTAATATTTTACCCTGGTTTCAAGACATTAAGGTGACTGTTATAAGGGTTGGTGTAAATGGGCCAAGATGCCGGAACACCGAAAGACAACACGATTCAGTGAAAAACGGTAATGTTTAAGTGTAACGGTATATACCATTTATGTTTCAGGTGACTCCTACAGGGGTATCCCGGTACAACACTGTATTAGGATACCAAGCTAATACAGGAAGATACAGTAGCGAGTCCCATAAATCCAATCTAAGCATAATATCTCAGTTTGGACCGGTCATATTGTATTGAAAAGAACTAAAACAATTTCACCTTTTTTATAATCAAGAAAGTTGAATCAAAGGTAATCTCGAATGCAACGCGAGATTTAGCTTGGCTGGAGTGTTCGCAATATCTGGTCACAGTACTGGAAATACGGGTGCCCTATTGTAAAAGTGGGGTACCCTCCTGTATACAGAAATGCACCGGGTACTCCCCTGTCATTTCCGTCCTTACAACGACCCTTCCCTCTCACTAGCTTATTTCACCCGTGAAGATCCAGGGTAGAATAGGTCTTCAGCAACCCATACTTGCCGTAAAAGACGACTATGCTTGTCGTAGGAGGTAACTAACGGGGTCGGGTGGTCAGGATTGCTGACTTGGTTGATGCATGTCATCATCCCAATTGAGTGGATCGATGCTCATGATTAATTACTGGATTGTCTGTTCCAGACTCGATTATTTACAGACCGCCGTCATGTAGCTGGAAAACTGCTTAGTGCGGCGTTAAACAACAAACAAACCAAACCATAAGCTATGTATACAAATGATATGAGACTTATATACGCGCCATAACACCTACCATAACACAATTACATAGTTCATATATTGTAAAATAATATTCCCTTTACCATGTTTACTGCATAATCATATTAAGATCGGGACCGACAACGTACAACTACTACCAAGCTCAATGAAATATATTTCGTATTTGACAAAGCCCACCATTAACGCTGTCTGCACGTTTCTAATGTAAATAGTTAAGTTCACACCCCGTGAATACAATCATGCCAGCGCTTTTCTGCAATGTTTTTGTGACAATTACAAGACTTGGTTCTGATCGTGGAACACTCTTTGTCAGACCCTATCAGCCTATGATTTTCTTGAAAACTTTGTACACGTTGTATGGACATTGTATAGTCCTCTTCTGTTGTCCTTATTCAACTGATCGTTCGTATCTGCATCTTTATGTGTTTTTTACTTTGTGATTGTGCGTACCGGTAAGGTTGTAAGCTGTTCAAACCTCAAATATGCAAGTGACGGTCATTGCAATCATTGACGTTTTCTCTTTGACATATATCAATCTGTACAGAATTTGTATGCAAACAGTGCTGGTCTGAAGTAAATGTTTGTCGAACATGAACACTAAAACTAACCAATCTTATACTAAAACTAACCAATCTTTAGTCTTTTGTTATAGTCAGTACCCTCAAAAGAAAGATATTTTCTGTAAACGTTCCTGCACTTGCGGCCATTTTTTGTATACTTATTAAAGGGACATCACTCTATCCGCCTCACAAATTTAAGTTGATTGGATTGTCAAGTTAGAACCGCGCCTGCTTTTGTATAAAACAGTTTATATGCATTAACATGTTTTAATGAAACCAGCAACTATCAGAAGAAATGATGAGAGGCGTTTTGTGAAAAAATCTTACTGACGGACAGTCAATTTTGTAAAGTTGAACGCCCGATGGTCGGGAGTTAAAGTCACTAAGTTGACAATCCATCAGTTGTTTTCTGAGAACTAAATTTCAAACAGTACAAATGTTATGTTTATCCTTTTGTTACTTTTGTTCGTTGGTCTGGAACATTCTGAACTGGCAACATTTTATCTGGTCTGGCAGGTTTGCAAAGTTGCCAGTCAGACATTTTGGGGAATTTTATACACTACATAATGTTGGAAATACCACAAATATCTATCAAGGCAGCAAAATTAATTTGACTTTTAAGCTAAAGCCATGAAAAATATTCAAAACTGATAGAAAATAACACCCTACTTCATGATGTTCAAATTGTTTGACAGTGGTAAAACCAAAGGTAACAAGGCAGGAAGTGAGCATGGCTCAATATTACCCCTTCCACTACAACATATTTCTAAGCTCAAAACATGAAAAAATATCATATTTTCTCAGAAAATACACACATAAAACTTTGCACTGCACCCTTCCTATTAGTATAGAATATATTCCATAAATTTGAAAAGAATCCATGTAGTAGTCCTCAAGTTATGGGTCGCACAAATGTTTAAGTAAAAATGTCTAAATAAAAAAATGAAAGATAGCTTAATTTTTTCAATTAAAAACAAATATTGAAATTAAACTTCGCAATGTACCTCTCCTTATGGTATAGAAAGTGTTCACCAAGTTTGAAAAGAATCTATGCAGTAGTTTTCATGTTATAAGTCACATACAAAAAATTCCTTGGATCGATGTATACCACCCTCCCTTTTCGTGGGGTATAATAAAACTGAGATCCTAAAGGTATCTTAGTATACTACTTATATATGTCAAGTCATGTAAACATCTTGAGTTATTATGGACACTGCTGATTATCTGCAACATGTGGGAATAGGTCCCCAGCAACCTATGCTTGTTGTAAGGGACAACTTAATGGATTGGTTGGTCAGGCTCCCTTACTTTGTTGACTGCATGTCATAGTATCCCAATTATGCGTAGTATCATGATGTCTGGTCCAGGTTTGATTATGTACAGGCTGCCAAATAAGAACAAAAGGAAAGCAATAATCTGCAGATTTTCTGCAAAGATCTTGATATCTTCTGAACAATGTTTCAAAATATTTATTTTTGTTGCACTTTTTATGTTTCAGGTACATTTTAAGGTAATAAAATGGCGAAAGTTTAAGGAGCTTAGGCCTCACAAGAAGTGGTTGGGACTGTGAAGGCGACATGTTGTTATTGTGTTGGTTTATAGATTCAACCGGAGTCAAAAGCCACAATCAGAAAGTGAAATAAAAATAGTTCAAGTATATTTCGATTTGCCTGACCCATCTTTGATAGATGATAAAAATATAAAAATACAACTTCAAATCATACAGAACTGAAGTAACTATTGACATGGCAACAGCAAACTTTCTTTAAAGGAGGAATATGTTCCACTATCTGGCTCCAACTTTCCATCAAGGCTCTTGCTGTTACACTTAGTGACTAGAGTGAGTGAGTATTGTTTTACACCGCTCTTAGCAATATTCCAGCAAAATCATGGCTTGGAACACCAGAAATGGATTTCATAGATTGTACTGGTGGATTCAAATGATACCCCGCTGCCCTTGTGACTTGAGTCAAACTCAGATATTGTCTTTTTTTCATAAGTGTAATCATTAACTGCTGAACTGATGTACATCTTTAGTGGTTTTGAAATGACTGTTATAAATTTGCTGGGACTGCTAGACCAGTCTCCCTTTAAAGAAAACTGAGCCTTGATAGCTAAAAAATAAATACTTGTACATAGTTCTGTAAAAATACTAAACATCCTTCACCTTCAACAGTATTATCATTTTTGACCGACCAACTAAAACAATTTCATGCCAAATAAAAAATAATAATATTGATCTTATTTTCATTTTCATATTGACTGAACAAAGCTGTTTGTTCAGCTAAACACTCATTCACCAGAATGTCAACAGTGGGTGGCCCTATGTAGTGAGTTAGTGTGTGACTTCGTGGCGTGGGATAATAATGTAGTCTGGACAATGTTTCCAGGACAGGTCTACATTCCAAATGTATTAGGTAGCTGTGTCTGATTTGTGACCTGAGCATGATGCGCTGGATCACATGCCACCTAACAGGTGTTGAGCACACAAGTTTGCAACTGGTAGAACAAAAAATATATTATGGTCAAGAGAATCTATAAACCATTTTTTTTTAAATGATTGGCAAAAGAAAGTATACAACTGAATGAAACTTGACCCCACAATTAAAAAACTTATCAAAACGTTAGTAGGCTGAAAAACTCTCTCCCAAACACTGCTAATTTCAGGTATCAAATACATCACCATCAAATTTTTTTCTATATTTCATTTTCAGTCACCATCAAACATGGGTGTATACTTTCTTTTGCCTGGCAGTATATAACAGCTTGGTAAATAAATAACCCTTCTAAGTTGTATGTAAAATAGAATTTTATTGATAGTAAAGCACCAGCATATAAAGAGCACATGTGACAGTGTATGGACATTGTGATGTTAATCAATACCAGGTTTCTGGGTTCTTACAGGCTTAAGAAAAAATATATATTTTGAATACTTAACAAGGTTAATTTTCCATGTCTCATCTTCTTCATGCTAAAAGGTGAATAAAATAATTTGGCAAAATAATTTACAATCATTATACATTCACATACAATTAAAAGACCATATCATCAGCACCAAAATTATGCATATCACTTGTGGAGATATCACATGATTACCATCAGCACTATTTAAAGCAATAATCATCACATCACATCACATGTCATCATCATCATCAGCAGCAGCAGCATTTAAGGCACTGGGTAAGAACATCACATAACATCATTATTATTTTCTAAAGCATTGGTGTAAACATACAATCATCATCATCATATCTATCACAATTCTGTATGGCACTAATGTTATCACAATGAGCACTTGCATCACACAACAATCACTCAAAACACAAATACATCATGAACATATTCAGGGGTAATGCAGCAGGCCACGGTCAAGTTTTCTTAAAATTACAAGAAACACATTGTCTCTGAATACATGGTTTATCTCATCTTCCTGAGGCAAGGAAGTTAACTGACTGTAAAAGTCCAGTTTCCAGAGGAAGAAACTGGACTTTTACAGTCCGGTTACTCCCTTGCCTCGGGGAGATGGGTATATATCTTGGATGGGCCCTTTTTAAGAGCAATCCAAATATGATATTAGTTTCCTTCCAAGGGTGAAATTAGGAGACCAGTGGGACATCGTTTTCTGGTAATTTTACCTAGTGTTATATCTAGTGGTCCAAAAGCTAATTTCTCCAGACCAAAAATCATCCCTGCATTAAACCCATATCATGATGCAAAATGTCAAGACATTTCATATACATCACATAGTAAAAATCCTCCATAAAAACACAGGTGTAAATTATTCAATCACAAATCATATCACCATAAATATCATTACATGTACAACACCAAAGTTCATCATCACAATAACAATATCGTTTCACAGCTGCACAGATGTATTGTCATCATGGCATAGATGTGGGCAAGACAGTACGAGAACAATGAATGGAGGTGAAAGACACAAGACAGCAGAAACCATTTTAGTTACTGGTACTCTATATCTACTGTTCAAGGGTTCAGTGAGTTCATGCTCCTCACTACCAGGCACATGTTACCTCAGGACAACCACATACATCTGCAAAGGTAATACAACCAAGGCATCATTTTAGAACATCCTATAAGCTTCAGCAGCTGGAGTACACGCACAGGCAGATGAGTGCCCACATAACGTTGTCAGACAAGTTAGTAGTTAATGAGATCAAGCTCATATTTTGTGATGGCTTTAATTTGAAATCATCAGATTCAAAATAGAACACACATATACTGAGAAAAGAGAGTTCTAGGACAAACCACTACCAAGATGTTCAATTTAATCACTTATAGATGTAGATCAGTAAAGGATGCATGTGTTCATTAATCCCCATTTGCTAAAAATACATTCTTGTTAATATATCAGTAAAAGTCAGGCAATCAAAAACTTGTCTGGAATCACAAGGACAAAACAGACAAGACTTGAAGAGATATTAAAGGATATGACAGATACACAAAACACACAGAAGTAATAAATAAACACATGATCACTGTTTTCCCTTACCTACCCAATGTCAGCAACATTCAAAGACCCACCGTACCTCACCTACCTTGTTATTGTTGATATAGCTTTCCCTTCAGTATCAGTATACTGAAAGACCTATTGTTATTCTGTAACACATAGTACTTGATCAGAGAGAGGCCTGATTTGTCTACAATAAAGTTCAGCCATGAATGAAGTGTAAGTACAAATGTAAACACTAAACTGGAACTAATCTACAACATAAGTTTGACTGACTACACTGTCAAGAAGAAGTGCAGTTCAATTTGCAAAATTGGTCCAAAATAAGTAAATTTAAAATGAAATATGCGAAGGAATTCACACTATTCAGAAAGCTACAGCCATGTGTCCCAAGGACCTGTTTTGGTGAGAGTTGGATGTTTTATAATAAAAGGCTTTTTCATAAGAACCCACAAGACCATGTTTGTTGCCAATAAACTTTAGATAAAACACAAGCAAATCTTTCCAGATGAGCTTCAACCTCATACTTCACAATAAAAATGTGAAAGAAAAGCTAAACAAGATGAAATTTTGTCATGATTAAAAAACAAACTGGCCTGACTTGACAGTAGTGAGTGAATGCATGGTAAGCGTTGCTGTCAAATTGATTGTGACTTTCCTCAGCTTTCCTGTCCTGGAATCCCAAATGGAGGGAAAACACTGTATCATGGCAACGGATGGATAAGCTTTAGGTCAATGTAGGCTCTCATGAAGTGTGCAAGCAAGTGATTGGAATGGGCTTTACTCTAGCACCCGGAATCTCAGCCATAGCTATCTGTGAAATCTCACATGCGGGGATCGTATTCTGTCCTGGAATCTCCACTGGAGCGACAATGCATCATGGCAAAGGATAAAGCCTCTGGTCCATGTAGGCTCTCATGAAGTGAACAAGCAAGTGATTTGTAGTGAAATAGTAGCATTGTTGTGGAGGACAATTTACAAGTGACTATCTGTTGTCATTAACATTTATATTGTGTCAAGGTTTAGTGTATAATCTTAATAATCATAATAACAGTAGTGTAGTGTTAGTAGTATTAGTAGTATTAGTGAGGTGAGGTGAAATAAGTAGTATGAGAAGTATTAGTAGTATTAGTAGTATTAGTAGCAGTAATAGTGTAGTGTCTAGTTGTAGTATAACAGTAGCATTGTTTGTTGTGAGGGACAATGTACAAGTGACCTTCTGTGTCATGATAGACTGGATCAATATTTTGTCATTGGACAATTACCTTATTCATGTCTGTGAAGACATTGATTGTGATGTGAAATAACATGTGAGATGTTTTATACCTGAACCTTTTAGACTGCATTGTGTGTACCGGGTTTATGTGGCATTGTATTTGATTTGCTGTGGTATAGTACAATGTCTGTGGTGAACCAATGTTTGTATCTGTAAATAAGTTATATGTAATTAGTTGTATCAGAGTACAGCTTTGTGTGTAGTTTAGTGTATAATCTTAATAGTAGTGTTAGTAGTATTAGTAGTGTTAGTAGTAGTAACAGTGTAGTGTCATAGCTGTAGTGTAATAGTAGTATTAACTGTAGTAGTAGTAGTAGTAGTTGTTGTGTTATTGTAGAAGTAGCAGTAGCAGTGGGATAATGTTAGAGTTTAGTAATAAAATAGGTTAGTATTAGTATTAATAGGAGTAGTAGGAGTAATAGGGTTAGGTAATGAGTTAGAAGTTAGAATTATATATATATATATATATATATATATATATATTTGGGTGTTTTCTGTTTGTAATATATTATGTAAGCTCTCATGAAATCTCGGTTAATCTCACATGTTGGAATCCAAATCTGTCCTGGAATCCCCACTGGAGGGACCAAAATGCATCATGGCAAAGGATAAATCCTCTGGTCCATGTAGGCTGTCATGAACTAAACAAGCATGAGATTGGAAAGGGCTTTACAATCCAGCAACAGTATCTCGGCTAGAGTGGCTTTTAGAGAAAGGTACCAAATTCAGCAATGGTACATGGAAGTGAAAGGTTTGCCAAGAGAAATTCATAATAGGCCCAGTCTGTATATATCACTCGATGACCCTAGCCACGTATACCAAGTATACCTGAGTCAGGTAAAATTTCTTCTGGTCTAATAAAATAAGCAATGACCTTTTTCGCATAAGCAAGGTAGCCCAAGATGTGAATGATCCTCAAAATGGCCAATAGTGCGAAGAGATTGATCAGCAGTTGTGGGGCATGATGCCTCATTATGCATCGTAAGATACCAATTGCACTCTGTCATACTGACTACTTAATTCCAAATTTGCCAGCTTCTTTGAAAGACGCATAAATGTTAAAAACCTTCTATAACCTTCAATCTACACATCAACCTATCTGAGAAATGAATGGTATTCAAAGGAAGTTAAAAAGAACTTATCTGGATCTTTTGTGTTTAGGTGTGGAAGAGGCTCTGGAACAATAAGGTTTATTGGTCTGTGGGTTCACTCACTTAATTAGGTATGTTAATCCAAACGCAAGTCGCAACAACAATATTTTGACTAAATGGCGACATAGGATGTAAATAACCTTGGGAAATTTTGAAAACATATTTATATCTTGTTACCAAATTCTACCACAAAAAGGAGCCAAGGTATAAATTACACATTGTTGGCCTGCATCGGTAATGACAACCAACTCACCACTAACCATGGTCAAGGTTTCTGTCCTTGGTGACATGGCTATAACCAGAAGTGTAAGTCCCTAATCTATATGGTGGCAGGAGGCATGGAGGAAGAAGTTTAAACAACCCATTACTGTTTACTGACATTGGGGAGATTGCCTGACTTTGACCGGGAGGATTTGGGTGGGGGAAGGTATGGTTTGGGTTTCTCTACTCTTGACCTTCTTGTGAGCCTGACTTCACTACTATTGGCTCCCAACTGACTAGACGTGTCAGCACTTTGTGGTTCTGCCTGTGCCTGTCTCAGCGATGGAGCGTGAGTGTTTGTTGTGGTAGTGTCTTGTCTGAGCTGGGAAGCAGGAATATCCCCTCTTACTTGCACATGCTTTGAAACAGAAGGATCCTGTCTGAAGTTTGAGCTTGTAGCTGGAGGATCTTGTCTGAACCTTGTCTCTTTGGCACTGGAAGGGTCCAGTCTTAGCCCGGAGTCCTTGGCTGGAGAATCTTGTCTGAACCTCATCTCCTTGGCATTGGAAGGGTCCAGTCTTAGCCCTGTGTCCTTGGCTGGAGGATCCTGTCTGAACCTTGTCTCCTGGGCTTTGGAAGGGTCCAGTCTTAGCCCTGAGTCCTTGACTGGAGGATCCTGTCTGGACCTCATCTCTTTTGCATTGGAAGGGTCCATTCTTAGCCCTGAGTCCTTGGCTGGAGGATCCTGTCTGAACCTTGTCTCTTTAGCATTGGAAGGGTCCAGTCTTAGCCCTGAGTCCTTGGCTGGAGGATCCTGTCTGGACCTCATCTCTTTTGCATTGGAAGGGTCCAGTCTTATCCCTGAGTCCTTGGCTGGAGGATCCTGTCTGAACCTCATCTCCTTGGCATTGGAAGGGTCCAGTCTTAGCCCTGTGTCCTTGGCTGGAGGATCCTGTCTGAACCTTGTCTCCTGGGCTTTGGAAGGGTCCAGTCTCAGCCCTGAGTCCTTGGCTGGAGGATCCTGTCTGAACCTTGTCTCTTTAGCATTAGAAGGGTCCAGTCTTAGCCCTGAGTCCTTGGCTGGAGGATCCTGTCTGAACCTTGTCTCTTTGGCACTGGAACGGTCCAGTCTTAGCCCTGAGTCCTTGACTGGAGGATCCTGTCTGGACCTCATCTCTTTTGCATTGGAAGGGTCCAGTCTTAGCCCTGAGTCCTTGGCTGGAGGATCCTGTCTGAACCTTGTCTCTTTTGCATTGGAAGGGTCCAGTCTTAGCCCTGTGTCCTTGGCTGGAGGATCCTGTCTGAACCTTTTCTCCTGGGCTTTGGAAGGGTCCAGTCTTAGCCCTGAGTCCTTGGCTGGAGGATACTGTCTGAACCTTGTCTCCTTGGCATTGGAAGGGTCCAGTCTTAGCCCTGTGTCCTTGGCTGGAGGATCCTGTCTGGACCTCATCTCTTTTGCATTGGAAGGGTCCAGTCTTATCCCTGAGTCCTTGGCTGGAGGATACTGTCTGAACCTTGTCTCTTTAGCATTGGAAGGGTCCAGTCTTAGCCCTGAGTCCTTGGCTGGAGGATCCTGTCTGAACCTTGTCTCTTTGGCATTGGAAGGGTCCAGTCTTAGCCCTGAGTCCTTGGCTGGAGGATACTGTCTGAACCTTGTCTCTTTGGCACTGGGAGGGTCCAGTCTTAGCCCTGAGTCCTTTGCTGGAGGATCCTGTCTGAACCTTGTCTCCTGGGCTTTGGAAGGGTCCAGTCTTAGCACTGAGTCCTTGGCTGGAGGATCCTGTCTGAACCTTGTCTCTTTAGCATTAGAAGGGTCCAGTCTTAGCCCTGAGTCCTTGGCTGGAGGATACTGTCTGGACCTCATCTCTTTTGCATTGGAAGGGTCCAGTCTTAGCCCTGAGTCCTTGGCTGGAGGATCTTGTCTGAACCTTGTCTCTTTGGCATTGGAAGGGTCCAGTCTTAGCACTGAGTCCTTGGCTGGAGGATCCTGTCTGAACCTTGTCTCTTTAGCATTAGAAGGGTCCAGTCTTAGCCCTGAGTCCTTGGCTGGAGGATCCTGTCTGGACCTCATCTCTTTTGCATTGGAAGGGTCCAGTCTTAGCCCTGAGTCCTTGGCTGGAGGATCTTGTCTGAACCTTGTCTCTTTGGCATTGGAAGGGTCCAGTCTTAGCCCCGAGTCCTTGACTGGAGAATCTTGTCTGAACCTCATCTCCTTGGCATTGGAAGGGTCCAGTCTTAGCCCTGTGTCCTTGGCTGGAGGATCCTGTCTGAACCTTGTCTCTTTGGCACTGGAAGGGTCCAGTCTTAGCCCTGTGTCCTTGGCTGAAGGATCCTGTCTGAACCTTTTCTCCTGGGCTTTAGAAGGGTCCAGTCTTAGCCCTGAGTCCTTGGCTGGAGGATCCTGTCTGAACCTCATCTCCTTGGCATTGGAAGGGTCCAGTCTTAGCCCTGTGTCCTTTGCTGGAGGATCCTGTCTGAATCTTGTCTCCTGGGCTTTGGAAGGGTCCAGTCTTAGCCCTGAGTCCTTGGCTGGAGGATCCTGTCTGAACCTCATCTCCTTGGCATTGGAAGGGTCCAGTCTTAGCACTGAGTCCTTGGCTGGAGGATCCTGTCTGGACCTCATCTCTTTTGTATTGGAAGGGTCCAGTCTTAGCCCTGAGTCCTTGGCTGGAGGATCCTGTCTGAACATCATCTCCTTGGCACTGGAAGGGTCCAGTCTTAGCCTTGTGTCCTTGGCTGGAGCATCCTGTCTGAACCTAATCTCTTCGCCATTGGAAGGGTCTGTCAAGGGAGGGTCAAACCTTTCTTTTCTGAACCTTGACTCTCTGGTGTGATGACTCTTATCTGATGAGGTGTCCTTCCAAACCACTGGTTCACTGACACAAGCTTCTTCCTGTCTAGGCCTGTTGGTTGAAGGATCCAGACTGAACCGTTCTTCTTTGTTGGAAGTGGAATCATTTCTGACTCTTGGTACTTCCTTTGAGGTTGTGGGATCAAGTTTGAACCGAGCTACCTTGGTAGATGTTTGATCTGGTGTGAACTGCATATCCTTTGTGGCTGCTTCATCCTGTTTGAACCAGATGTCCTTGGTAGGTTTTCGAACTTGTCTAACCTTTGAGCTCTTGAGGGCAACAGAATCCTGTTTGATCTTTACTTGCTTAGGTGTTGGAGATTCCGGTGTGACCTGTGGTTCCTCGCATGAAGAAGATGACTTACCCGTGACTGGAGGAAGAGGCTGCCCAGTTCTCCTCATGAATGGACATGGTGCCAGGAGGTCTGGGGCAGGAAGTGGTGCTGGTAGGCTGGATGTAGATGTTTCTGCTTCTCTCTCTCTGAAAATACAACGTTTACTACTATTTTTAAATGCCTCACTTATTAGCAACATTTCATTATTTTTTGTGTGTGTGAACTTGTATGGGTCAAGTAACCTACTAACGGTAAAAGAGGTCACAGAAATAGGGCAATTCATATTGCAGTTTGGTTTTAGTTTATGAAATTCTGCAACAATGATTAGGTAAAAAACAACAACGAAACAACTGGAATACTGAATGAAAATCCTGACATAGCCACAAAGGAATGACTTTGAGTATGACTGTTATAATCACAATGTATAATTTTCACAAATGTGCATTGTTTCTGTGCAACATTTGACAACTCACCTCACATTAAACTCTTTCTCATACCCAAGGACTGATACGACTCCAGATGGACGAAGTGCTGATGATAAAGGAAGCATTGTTGCTGATGGTGGACGTGATAAAGCTGTGGTCGGTTCTTCAAGAATCTCAATCTGCTGCTCATAGCTGTCACTAGAAGATGGTGACTCAGAGAAGATAGCTGTAGGTGCTCTTTTCCTTGGAACTTTCCTGTGTTGTGACTTGTCAGGTTCTTCCGATGGAGAACTGTGATCTGAACTTGACTCAATAGGTGGAGTGAAATCCAGGCGGCGAGCTACTTTATAATCGGCACTGGTTTGTGATAAATTGTCCTTTCTATGATCTTTTAATGTATGGAGATCTGTAGGTGTTGCAGAACTTGAACCAATAGGACGCAACACAACTGGATAAGCACCTAATGGAATGGGCAGCTTAGAATCTGAGATATCCCTCCTCTTACTCAGGCTAGGCACCTTTCCTAATCCAATATCTTTCTTATTGAAAGTACGTCCCAGTTTTGCTTTGCTCGATCCACTTCCAGATGACATGCTGTCATCAGTATTGGAGCTGCTCTTCCCAGATGAAGCCTTAGAGTTGTATTTACTTCTCTTGATTGATGTTTTTTTTTGATCATAGGAAGCTGCAATCATCTTCACTGGAGGCTGTTGTGATTCCATCAAGCTTGGGCTAGGTACTGAGGCAGTGTCTACAAAGCTGCTGGCCATCATGTCCATTCCGCAGGATGGTCTCTTGTTAATTTCTTCATCAGAGATATCACTCTGTTTGTTAAAATCAATCAGCTTGTAAAGCTCAGGGTCGGTTGAACTCCCTGACATCGTAGCTCTAAGGGAGGAATCTGAGCTGTCTAGGAACACACTTAATATTTCAGATCTTGTTGATACCAACCTCAGTGGATTACTGTCAGCTGAAATAAAAATACAATCTATACATGAGCACAAACAGTTTCAGAATTTGAAATCCTGTAAATAAAATGTCCACATTATGATATGCATTCAAGAGAAGGGGGGTTAAGGCTTAACGTAAAATATCATAGCAGAAATCTCTAGGATCCCCGGGTGTCCCTCATAAGTTCTAACACTGCAATAAATACATTATAAATACCAGACTTGATAGAAAATCAGTACACAACATGTACAAATACAAAACACATACCTGAGTGTTTGAGTGCTCTAGCCTTGTCTAAGTCAAACCCAATCAGCTTGTAGAAGTCAGGGTCTGTATCACTGCCTGATGATTCCCGCTTCTGAGCTGCAGCATTCTCATCTACAAACAGGTCATGATTCTGGGTCCTTGTATTTGCTGGCTTCAGTGGTATTGCTTTATCTCGTAACATCATCAAAATTGACATAGAGGATCTTTCTGAATTATTAGTTACTAAAATTACTAGATGTAGTTGAAGATGGAATACTGACCACTATTTATTTTTTCCCCGAAAGAATATCAGTTTCTATAAGAATGTAATGAACCACTCAATCAATCATCTTAACATGATGACTTTGATAAGCTTTCTTTTATTTTCATCCTTAAGTTTGTGAACTGAACATTAATGTATTTTCTTAATTTGGTAATAATCATTCATGACATTTGAGGAGAAACTACAAATGGCTATACAACATTAAATTATATTTTAAATCATAAGGGGCAGTGGGGTAGCCTTAGCTTGATTCCCCACATGGATAAAATGTATTAAGCCCATTGCTGGTGTCACCCGTCATATATTGGTGGATATTGCTAAAAGTGGCATGAATCCCTCAACCCTACTTACTCACTCACTCACTTTACATCATAAATGATATTTTACCTGAAGCAGGAGGACTTGGCAACGTTTCATCTTTCTTCATGAATTTGAAATGGTCATCTGGCAATCTTGCTTTGGATGCTCTACTAACTCTGGCCTTCCTGGGTGGGCCAGAGGGAGGAGTTGGTGGAGGAGCAGGGTGCTTGGTGATGGCTGTGCTTGGAGGAGCAGAGTGCTTGGTAGTAGCTGTGCTTGGAGGAGCAGAGTGCTTGGTAGTAGCTGTGCTTGGAGGAGAAGAGCACTTGGAGGTAGCTGTGCTTGGAGGAGAAGAGCGCTTGGAGGTAGCTGTGCTTGGAGGAGAAGAACGCTTGGTGGTAGCTGTGCTTGGAGATGAAGAGAGTTCAGTGGTAGCTGTGCTTGGAGAAGATGAGCGCTTGGTGGTAGCTGTGCTTGGAGGAGAAGAGCGCTTGGTGGTAGCTGTGCTTGGAGAAGATGAGCGCTTGGTGGTAGCTGTGCTTGGAGGAGAAGAGCACTTGGAGGTAGCTGTGCTTGGAGGAGAAGAGCGCTTGGTGGTAGCTGTGCTTGGAGGAGAAGAGCACTTGGAGGTAGCTGTGCTTGGAGGAGAAGAGCGCTTGGAGGTCACTGTGCTTGGAGGAGAAGAGCGCTTGGTGGTAGCTGTGCTTGGAGGAGAAGAGCACTTGGAGGCAGCTGTGCTCGGAGGAGAAGAGCGCTTGGTGGTAGCTGTGCTTGGAGGAGAAGAGCGCTTGGAGGTAGCTGTGCTTGGAGGAGGAGAGCACTTGGTGGTAGCTGTGCTTGGAGGAGAAGAGCACTTGGAGGTAGCTGTGCTCGGTGGAGAAGAGCGCTTGGTGGTAGCTGTGCTAGGAGGAGAAGAGCGCGTGGAGATAGCTGTGCTTGGAGGAGAAGAGCGCTTGGTGGTAGCTGTGCTTGGAGATGAAGAGAGTTCAGTGGTAGCTGTGCTTGGAGAAGATGAGCGCTTGGTGGTAGCTGTGCTTGGAGGAGAAGAGCGCTTGGTGGTAGCTGTGCTTGGAGAAGATGAGCGCTTGGTGGTAGCTGTGCTTGGAGGAGAAGAGCGCTTGGTGGTCGCTGTGCTTGGAGAAGATGAGCGCTTGGTGGTAGCTGTGCTTGGGGGAGAAGAGCGCTTGGAGGTAGCTGTGCTTGGAGGAGAAGAACGCTTGGTGGTAGCTGTGCTTGGAGATGAAGAGAGTTCAGTGGTAGCTGTGCTTGGAGAAGATGAGCGCTTGGTGGTAGCTGTGCTTGGAGGAGAAGAGCGCTTGGTGGTAGCTGTGCTTGGAGAAGATGAGCGCTTGGTGGTAGCTGTGCTTGGAGGAGAAGAGCGCTTGGTGGTAGCTGTGCTTGGAGAAGATGAGCGCTTGGTGGTAGCTGTGCTTGGGGGAGAAGAGCGCTTGGAGGTAGCTGTGCTTGGAGGAGAAGAGCGCTTGGTGGTAGCTGTGCTTGGAGGAGAAGAGCGCTTGGTGGTATCTGTGCTTGGAGGAGAAGAGCACTTGGTGGTAGCTGTGCTTGGAGGAGAAGAGCACTTGGAGGTAGCTGTGCTTGGAGGAGAAGAGCGCTTGGTGGTAGCTGTGCTTGGAGGAGAAGAGCGCTTGGTGGTAGCTGTGCTTGGAGAAGAAGAGCGCTTGGTGGTAGCTGTGCTTGGAGGAGAAGAGCGCTTGGAGGTAGCTGTGCTTGGAGGAGAAGAACGCTTGGTGGTAGCTGTGCTTGGAGGAGAAGAGCGCTTGGCGGTAGCTGTGCTTGGAAGAGAAGAGCACTTGGTGGTAGCTGTGCTTGGAGAAGAAGAGCATTTGGTGGTAGCTGTGCTTGAGGATGAGTGCTTGGTGGCAGATTTGATTGGAAGAGAAGAGCGCTCGGTGGAATATGTACTTGGAGGAGCAAAATGCTTGTTGGTAGATGTGCTTGAATGATCTGTTGAAACACCTGATTTATCCTGTACTTTGACCCGCACTGGAATCTTGCTCTCCTGTTTCTGTACCATGCGTTTAAGCTCATCTTCTGAGTCAATTGTTAAGAAATGTACTTCTTCTTCTGTGGACTTCAAACGAAGACTGTCTGATACATCAACCTCTTCACTGTTGATAGTTTTTTTCATAAATCTCAGTTTATCTTCTTTCACCTTGGGTGATCCTCTCTCAGCTTTCAATACAAAATGGTCACATTCAGCTTCATGAATTTCTCTTACAGAGTCCACTGGGAATGACAGTTGCTCATCCATGGCAGCTGTAGCCTCTGCTGCATCAACATCATAGACAGCAGCATCTTCATTCTTCATGGTCAGTTTTTCAGCTACTGTTTCAAAATGCTGATTGATGTGTTGGCTGGTGTGAGCTCCATTTGTCGCAACCATTGCTCTTTCCCCTGTAGCAAAACATTCATGTTTCCCCATCTCAATTTCAATATCAAGGATGCCCTTCTTGTTTTCTGTAGGAAGTACCATCTGAGTGTCCTGTTTCATCATCTGAACATCCTCACTTGCAGGGTGAAGCTGGGTGGTGTCTCTTGCAGTTTGGGATGAACCACTGTGTTTCTGGTCTTTGTGGTCATCACTTTCAGAATGAACGTGTACAGACTGAAAGTCATCTGAGGCTGTGGTATCACACCTGCTGACCTTCAATTTATCTCCATGAATGGTGTGCTGCTTTTCAATCTTCATATCAGCACCATCAATGCCGCTGTTGGCCTTTGATTGCTTTAATTCATATGGCTCCTTGGTAGCATCTGGAGAAGCGTCAGCCTTGTCTTCAGGCATGCTCTGCATTTTCTTGATTTTGGCATCAGTATCATCACTGCGGACTTGTACAGGATGACTGACATGTAGCTGCTTGTTACCGACATCTTCTGGTATGTTGCATTTCACCTTGATCTGGACACTATCGTCATCACTTTCACAAGTGACTTGTGTTTTCTGAGTAACATGTGGACTGTGCAGATTCTTGTCAACATCTTGGATGTGTTTGTCTTTAGGAATGCTGTGCCTCTTGTTGATATGATCACTGTCTTTTGTGCCTCGTGAAGTCTTGGCAGCATGCCTGGTGGCCTGCTTGGCATTAACATCCTTAATGATCTCAGTATCAGCATCAATTTTACAACTACCAACATCTGGCTCACTGCCATGAGTCTTGGCATCATCTCTGGTGGCCTTCAAGTCATCATCTTTAGCAGTGCTGTGCTCTGTACTGACTTTTACATCAGTGTTGTCATGTCCATCCTTGGCATGCTGTTTCCGAGCACTGTGTGGGGTCTTAATGACATCTCTGATGGTCTTTTCAACCTTGTCTTCAGGAACACTGTGCTTGTCCTTCATCTTGATCTGTATTGGCTGAATTCCATGAGGTGTCCTGATGGCTTCTCTGGAGACCCTGTGTGCCATGTCTTCAGGAACACTGTGCCTCTTCTTGATCTTAACATCCGCATACTCTCTCCCACTATCCACCTGCGGCTGGGTATTATATGGAGTCTTGATGACATCTCTGGCAATATCTAATTCTGCAGGAACACTGTGGTGTTTCCTGATATTGGCATCATCATCATTTCCACTGGTATCATCAGTAGCATCATCAGAATGATCTCTAGCATTTACAGGAGAACTGCTATCAGTTTCTGGTGTGATATCAATAATATCCTCTGCCGTAACATATGGGTTCAGCAGGCTTGTTTGCATAATGTTGATTTCCACTATCTCAGTTTCATTGTCTGGTACAGACGAGTGATGTGGAGGATGACTTTCTTCATACCTCTCTAGAAGTACCCTACCACCTAAAATAATATCCCAGGATGTAAAACCATGCTACCATTCATATTCATCAGTCATTATTTATAAACAAAATGTCACACGGCATAACAGTGTAATCATGTGAAGGCTTTTTCCTTCCTTAATCGAATCACCCAATCCAAGGGCTTTAATATATGCCAGACAAGCAAGAGTATGTAAATCTGTGACCAGTCTGCGACATTAGCCACTGCCCCGAAGCCCAAGTTTGTAAAATTGTGTTAGCTCTAGTCATGTTCAGGCCTCAAAAGCTATTGGCACAGACAGCATGACAGTTAAATGCTAGTTAGGAAACTAAGATGCATACAAGTCTGATACATCTACTCTACAAAGAAAATATATAAAAATTCAACACGTCAGAATCAAATGTTGAGACTGTTTGTATGCATTGTTTCCAACGTGTATTTGACAGACAAGGCTGAGAACCCATGATAGCATGTTCCCTTATTCATGTCCATCAGTATATGTGTGCAAGTGCTAAACTTATCATTTATTACAAGTTAATAAAACAGTGACAATATTCATCTATGTGCCACCCAAACTTCATGATGCAAGGCTCAAGGCTGCCATTCACACAAAAGAAGTTTTCAGCTGATAAACCTAATCCATTCCAACAGGATCCAGGTTGAATATGAAACATTATCAATACTTCTCCATCCAATCTACATCAAGACACATTAATCAGTCAAGGTTAGAGACTGTTTTACTTGTTCCAATTCCTTTCATATAATTAAAAAATAATGCTGCAGAACTAGGACTGTCATGAAAAAGAGACTATACTTACGAGCCAGGGTAGTATCTTCAAAATCTGCAAAACCATCAAATGCTTCACCTTTTTCTGAAACAGAAACATCATCATACAGATTCAAATACATCAGGTATCAGAAAAATGAAAGCATACCAGTGGCAAACAAAATCTTAATCTTAATCAGCAAGATCAAGACAAACTATTTCTATCAAACGAAAACACCCAAAAAGGGAAAAAGAAATTCATTGCATCTGTCATTTGGTTTACGATAACTTTGCCTACAGACAATCAGTATACTATTACATGGGAAACATATAAGTGTCTTTATGCCAAAGACTGTTGAGTCTACCTGCCCAAACTTGTATTTTGGTGTAATTTACAGTAGATATAATTCTGAATATATGGAATAGTAGAAATTGTGCACATCACAGGCTTTGAACTAGTAGCCCAAGTCACACCATATTTTACTAAATAATGAAACAATAAACCTGCCTTTAAACATTTCCTACTGTGCAGAATATAATTACCAATATGGATGATAATGGCATACATAAAAAGTTTCATGGAAGAAGAGGATTCATACCCATAACAGAAAAGATACATGCCGTAAAAAAAATACTAAAATAATAAACCACCCCATAGGCCTACCAAAGTGGAATCAGATGTGCTAGATATGTTATGCTACAATGAAAGTCTCTCTGCAGGACTTGTATCAACTTACAGGCTGCCCATACAAGCCTGTAATATTCCAAATGTTTCTTGATTCTTCTGATGAAAACCTCCATTACATGGTGTAATTTACCCTAGCTTCTGATACACTCTACCACTGGTATTCTCAAGTCAAACTAATGACTCACTACAGAAGTAGTGAAATACATTAATTTACCCAAAATGTGCAGCTTACGCGGACTCATCTTACTGTAGATAAGTTCAAGTAATACCTGTGTAATGAACGCTTTTGACATTATTAATTCAGACATCCATGACATGGCATGATTGAAGTTCCCTTTCCTTGTTACAAATTCAACCCTGCTACTGATGTGTTAAAAAGATCCAAGTGTGGTGTCTGATGATTGTATCTATGGTCAAAATGAAGGTCACAAAAATTCCCTTGACTTGGCCTCGTGTAACCACGTATTGTGGGTACCCGGTACTCTGAGCTTGAGTTTACTGACGAGTCATCGTCCTCCTCCAGTAGAGTAGGCCTATCAGAAAGCCTCACAGGCAAAAAAGCGGTCCTTTTGATGGCCTTGCCATTCCATCCCTACAACAATTAACCACGACTGATCTGTGTGTATTACAGAAGATCCAGAAGATGCCCGCATATATAATATGAAGACATATCTTTCGGTTAGGGAAATATAATAAAGCAAGAACCTAAAGATCTATAATCCTAGTCTGTTGAGTCGTAACGCTGACCATTTTCCTTTTTTTCTGAAGCTGATAAAACGTTTTTGTAACAAAGTGACGCTTATTATTCTCAACTCTGTCCTTGTTCTTACCTGAACAGCAAGGAAAGAATTTGCAGCAATTGCCGCGTTTCTTCCGCGTCATTTTCTCAGAGAAGTTCAGACGACATCTCCGCTTGACTGTAACTTTGCCGCATCTGTCACCGTGGGTGAGGTTAAAGGTCACACAACAAGCCAATCAGGTGTCATTCTACAACCACGTGACTATACGCCGACGCCGAGTTGCAAGCTCCATTTCAATGCGTGCTACCTCGGTATACCCAGTTCAAAGAACGACCTATCGCTGCGGAGAGCTTTGCCGCGTTGCTATCAAGGGGAACCACTCCCAAATGTTTAACCATGCATACCGCTTCGTTCTCAGGGCCATTGCCATTGAATATTGTTTTTTTGAAACTCTTAATTGTGTTATTCGAGGATAGATTAACTGCACACACATGTTAACTATTTTCTCAATGACTATTAGGCTAGGTCACTGAGAAATAATCCCATTCGTGAACTATCTCTCTTCTTTTTTTACAAATCTCCAATCTTTACAAACCAATGCTCGTATTTTACTATTTAAATTAAGACGTTTCCTGTTATTAAATAAAGAGCATGTAAAGAAATAACAACAAGTACAAATCACCAACGATCAGATCTGTGTGAAACTGACTTCATTTACTAATAAGCCTGTAAAGCCAATTTAAGCCATCCGTTTATGGTAAATGTGTACTCAATGTTACAGAGAGAACGACCTCTCTCTCTGCATAGTATACCAACCACTTGCAGTCAGCGTTATTCACTTGAACTCTGAACCAAGGAAAAATAGGACGGTGGAATCTGGCAGTCTCACAGTCCCTGAACCATATTATTTTCCCTTCCGCCCATACTGTAGTGCTCAGGTTCATGTTCATCTCGCTGGGGCTTCTTTTCAATTTAGGTTGCGTTGTTTGTTGCTATTCGAAATCATATATTTTCAAAGGCTAAGCGTTAGTCCGTCCATGTGTCGGACGGTATAGTTTCTCATCAATCACTTGTATCACTTGCAGTGAACCTTTATATAGATTGAGTAATGATGGCGATCTGCAGTCTAAAACGACACTCACTCACGTACTCTATAAACGAGAAGGGAAATTTGCTGATTGCTTGTTTCCTTGTTTCCTTGATTAACGCGACAGCAGTTTTTCAACGAGTGTATGCAAATTCGTAACCCAACGAATTCGTACCCATAGAAATGAGAAATTTCATACCCCATTGCAATAAGCAATGAATTACGCTTTATGACATATAAATATTTACATGCATGTAAATAATCGAGTCTGGACCAGAAGATCCAGTGATTGATACCATCATGAGCAACGATAGACAAGTCACTGAGACTGACCACCCGATCATCAGTAGCCTCATACGACCAGCATGGGTTGCTAGGGGCCAATTCAAACCCGGAGTCTTCGCGGGGGGTGTTTCATTGTCTATGTCCCAGTACCGATGCATTTCGTGACATAGTATCGTACAAAGGAAGATAATATAGAATGTACCACTTGTATTTGGGTAATGTAAACTTACATTGGTGTATTGTAGAATTTCATATCTTCGTCATCATCACCAGTGTCGTTTCGGCGACCCTATGGCCTGACAGAATATAACTGTATTTGTTAAATATACAAATTATAACAGTTATAATTCTGATAGTTGATAATAGATAATTCTGGTAATTCATGTTCTGTGACAGTCTTAATGACAGACACCGGGCGATGATTTCAAGCACTGCTTAAACTCTTAAAGGAACTTCTTCCATCATGTTGCCAATTTTAGCATCGCTGTTTTTCTCCGATAAATCCCATCTGCTAATTATAACACCAGTGTATTGAGCAGAAGGGGAATTCAAGTGTGACATATTTTGGTCACGTGTTACTTCATTACTTCCAGTCTTTGGGCACCACTCGATGGCTTCCTTTGATTTAATGTTTATATTGAAGTAAAATTGTCTCAATGTGGAAAAAAGAACCTTTAGAGTGAGTGAACGAGTCATGGCCGTATCATACCAAGGTATCTGACAGGGTGGGAGTGTTGTCAACATGTATTTCCTATCTAGGTATAGACTTTAAAATTAGTGTTCTGTGTTCTGAGATATTGTCCCTGTTAAAATGGGTAATTATTAACAATAAGATATACACCACGGAATGTGAGTCTGCAGACATAGTTGTGTTGATGTCTACCATGCAAATAATACAGAACCCTTCGCTTTAAAAGCTGACAAACTATTGTGCACTTATATAGCGGCGTGCATGTGTGTGCGTGTGCGTGTGCGTGTGCGTGTTTGTACTAGTGTGAGTGTTGCGGAAAACAGCAGTCTCCATTAAGGGTCACGTGCGTGAGTGAATGCCACAATCACCACTATTCCAGCCACATCACGGCTTGTAAATAATCAAGTCTGACCAGTAAAACCAATATTTGAAAGTACCAGCAACGAACCACGCCACCCGACACGATGAAACCTTATCAGCCTCGGATCTGTTTCAGTCCTTCCTTCCGACAAGCATGTTGCTGTGCACCTACTGTAATCCAACCCTGGAACCTAACCAGTATCTGGATAGGAAGCTACCTTGGAAGAAACTGTGTGTCGGAAATAATGAGCATCCTCGATAATCCATGGAGTGTATCATCATTCCATTATGGTACATATACCCTGGACTCATTCGTTGCCATAGCTCTTTGTCAACACTGTGTCAACTTTAGGCGATGATGTTCCTTCCTTTGAAGCTGTTAACTGGTGAGTAGATCAGAAAGACCCACCACAGCCACCACAAAGGGAAATGTTGACAAATCAGTAACCAAAGCCACCAACCCAGACCATCATAGTTAGATTCAGGACATTTTGTAGCCATCCCTCATACCTCCACTGATCCTTCCACATTAGACAGGGGAGTGTCCTATTTATGAGGACAGCGGAACTTGGTTGGTCGTCCCATGTTTACACAGGTCTCAGCAGTTTGTTTGTTGTTCTCACAATTTTTCTGTAAATATTCATATGAATACAATAGTTGTTTCATGAGAAAGACATATGATTAAACATGCACATGCCTTTCTTTGTTTTGTTCGGTTTCTTTTCTATGCTTGTCGTAAAAGGCGACTATGCTTGTCGCAAGAGGCGACTAACGGGATCTGGTGGTCAGGCTTGCTGACTTGGTTGATGCAAATCATCGTATCCCAATTGCATGGATCGATGGTCATGATGCCAATAACTGGATTGTCTGATCCAGACTCGATTATTTACAGACAGTAGTCATACAGCTGGAATATTGCTGAGTGCAGCGTTAAACAATAAACTAACCAACCAATCTTGTTTAACGCCTGATCCGGATCCAGTGGTACATGGATCCAATGGTACAAGGCAATGGGCTGTAAATAACCTGAGTGAGTGAGTATGGTTTTACGCCGCTTTTAGCAATATTCCAGCAATATCACGGCGGGGGACACCAGAAATGGGCTTCACACATTGTACCCATGTCGGGGAATCGAACCTGGGTCTTCCGCGTGATGAGTTAACGCTTTAACCAGTAGGCTACCCGACCGCCCCTGTATATAATCTGAGTCTGGACCAGACAAACCAGTGATATGATGAACAGCGTCAATCGGATCCGATGACAAGAAATCAACCAAGTCTGGCTGATAAGAATAGGTTGCTACCTACTAGCTGGGGTCAGGTTTTAACCCAGGTCCCCATTGCACCACAGGGAAAGGTTGTATTAACCTTCAACTGGTGAGGTGTGGTGAAATTGGGTTTAACGTCGCGTCAAAGATTATTGCACTTATATAGCGACATGCATGCACGTGTGTAAGTGTGTGTGTGTGTGTGTGTGTGTGTGTGTGTCTGCTTGTACTAGACCGGACGGATGCTGATTTGTAGTGCTAGTCCACTGAGATACCATGCCGCAGTTTAACATGAATACCCCACTTAGACACAGTATACGGACTCCGAGCCGACCAGTCCTTGCTTTAACCCCTTAATGCCGGGGATCAAACCCCCGGACCTTCTGCTCTCAAGGCGGACACTCTACCACTAGACCACAGAGGCGGTCTAACCTTCAACTGACAACACTGCATCAGTGTAGGATGTCCATTCTTAGACAATCACAGCCACCTGCATCTGCATAAGGCCTGCCTGCAAGTTCAGTTTGATTCCTCAGTTTAACAAGGTTATGTTATGAGTTTTGAGTTTAACAATGTAACCTTTTTACCCTAATATTGAGATATTTGCCATTCTGGCCGGTTATCAGCTGTTAAAAGAAAGGTTCAAATGGTTGAATAAATCAAAATTTGAAATTTGGAAATACAAAGAGTTAATATGAAATTGTGGAAGAACAGGAAAATCAGCAGCTAGATAAATAAATGTGACAAAAATAATTTAAAAGTTTCAAATATGTTTATTTCCAATTTTACAGTTGAATATTGGCAGCATGTGAATAAGAACATTAGCATTGTAACACAATTTCCCACATACAAGTGCTCTCTGACGCCCACATCAATGATTGGTCATGTAACTAACTTGTTAAAGGCAGAACACTCAGTAAGAAATACAACATAGTTTCTACTTGGAAAACTACCCGTCCTGGTACCTATACTCATTTCCAGATAATGAAGATAGACTTTTCTGAATCTTGCATATACTACACAATGTTTTATGGGGATCCTGTGACATCCCATGCTGTTAAACTGGAAACTGAGTTAGTGTTAACACAGCTTTGAACAGTATTTCAGTTACATAACAGAGTTCTAGGTTACTGCGGCAGGAAAGCCTGAGGTGATGCAGGTCTTGGTGAAACCCATGCACACCCATCTCTGTACAATTTTACATCCACTTCGGTGAAAACAATTCCTACTTTTCAAACATTTCTTTACATAAGAAAATATTACTAAAGACTTTGGGACCAACCATTTGATATTCTGGGGGATTTTATTGAAAAAAATAATCATGCCGAGACAGTTGAAAAAAGAAAGAACTTGCCTACCACAAAAATTATGCTGTTGCAAGGTGTTTTTCTTAACAAAATAATCAGGCTCATAGTTTTTAGATAAAAACATATCTGGTCTTGTAGATCTACCTTAAACAATATCTAATCAATACAAGTCCCAGGCCCCACCAGAACATACAATGGTTGATCCCTTAGACAGTCCTTCAAGTAGAGATCACTCTCCGCAATTGTCTTGACACTGATTCTCCGTCCTGAGGAAAATCCACCTTCATGTTGAACCACTGGAGTCTTTTACTTACATAGTCTTGTACAAATGGGAGTCTTGTACTTACATAGCCTTGTACAAATGGGAGTCTTGTACATGTACTTACATAGCCTTGTACAAATGGGAGTCTTGTACTTACATAGCCTTGTACAAATGGGAGTCTTGTACATGTACTTACATAGCCTTGTACAAATGGGAGTCAATTTCTAAATTTGGGAGTCATAATTTTCTTTATACTAATATTGTAGCGGACGGAAAAAGGGGACATTCCAAGTTCCCATTTTATTATAGTTATTTCAGTCTCGTTTATTTCTGAAGTTTGTTTCAAACAACTAGCGAAGTAGTGGTCAGTATTAAAAAATACTGTAAATACTCAGTCAAAACTTAGGTTTCCTTAGCAAATTTATTGCGTTGGTTATGACTCCATTCAAAAACTTTTGCGAGCATTTCAGGAAATTATTATGTCAAATACGCATGGATAACGCGTTTTGTAAACCACTGACAGGTGTCATGCAGTCTGCGCAAACAGTTGGAATAAACACATACTCACTTGTACGTGCAGTGCATTAATCAGTAGGTCTCCTTATCAGTTGGTTTACAAAAAATAAAATGACAAAAAATAAAATGACCGAAACTTCCATAAGAAACAAAATGACTTTTAAGTATTTTTTTGAGGCAACCAAATTGATGTTTGGAGGACACAACCACTACCACTGACAATCTGATGGCGATCAAAACCCACGTCAACTTCAGCTGCAAAGATGTCAGTGTATATAGGAAGATGATGGCATCTCCTACAAGACACGGAAATAATCAACTCAATGTTCTGTTAATATTAAACATATTTTTATCTTATTCACAAGTTAATTTTTATGCTGAAATCCTAAACATTTTTTCCACCACCAATATTGGCCTTTGGGCCAAGTGTTTTGTAAACCAACTCATGAAAAACAAAAGATCTGTAAACACTGGCATAAATCTGTGGTTCATCATTAAGGCATTACAAAATCTGAAACATTTCAATGTCATGTTAAACAATACCATTCATGATACGATACCTGGAAACCTTTAACTAATTATCTATGATCACATCAGTGTAATGTTTCATGATGGATTATGTTCTGCAATACCCACGAAGCTCAGGTCTGTGTCTGTGACGGCAACACCACACAAATAGTAACTCTTGATGAGGTCAACTGCGGCCTCGATTGGTCATCCCACCTCAGGGGTCAGGTCATTGTTTTCACATGCTGACCCATCTTCCCGAGGCAAGTGAGTTAACTGACTATAAAAGTCCAGTTTCCACCCTTGCCGAACTAGGCTGGTATTATGGAGTTACATTTTGGCTGGACTAACAAGTCTACGCATAGTCCAATCAAAATCGCACACTGAAATCGAAATCCTGTTCGTAAAGGGTCATGCAGATTTCTGTCGACTGCAGGATTTGCAAAGCATGTGCATCGCTAACTCGTTGTCAACAGATATTTTCTAAATCTTTTCATTCTTTTAAACAAGGTGCTCGCGTGATTTGATGCACTTCGCGATGTAAGACTCGTTTTATCACAATATATATCTTGATTATCAATCAGATCGTCTTGACTGGGCGCCACCGTTTTGTTTGAAGCAAATGCAAGTGATACGAGAGGTTGAATCTGATTGGTCAATAGGAGAGGCATAGAAAGGACATAGCTCGTAATAGCCACTGGTGGCGCTACGATCTAGCCCAGTAATTCCAGCCTAGTTCGGCAAGGGTGGAAACTTGACTTTTAAAGTCAGTTAACTCTCTTGCCACGGGAAGATGATGCTGACCTCGTCAAGAGTGATTATTTGTTTTGCTATACCGAAAATCACTTTAATGTTTATGAAGCCTTCAAACCATACTGTTTCATCACAGTAACTTAGCTGTGAACAGCAAAATGTTTTCTAGCAGACAAATCTATATTCATCATGTGACAGGTCAACACTGATCATGTGACGAGTCAATATTTGATGTCAAGTCAGACACGTGATTTGGGGGTCTACATTGAAAAGTATTGTTTTGTCACATGGTACGGATTAACCAATGGCGTTGTAAGATTCTTAACAGAGTTATAACAAATTACAGTGACATGATGAGCATAGCATGGTGGGACGAAACTGGACCTATGTGTTTTGAGCAAACACTTACCACTGTGCTATCACCAATGCATTTATGTGGATTCATATCCTAAATGTGAGAAAGTGGAGATGGATTTCAGTACGGAATGACAGACCAAGGTTCATAATCTGGGATTCAAACCCACTGGATCCTTGCATCCAAGGGACTTAACCCTGTACAGTCAGCGAGGCAGGGACCTTTAACCTCTTGGCCACAAATGTCAGGAAGAGGTCGACCTCTATGACATGACATCAATACTGATGGTGGAGTTCATATAAAAAAGAACATGATGAATAATACAAACACCGTGTTTAGGTGATTATTGCACTGGTGTACAATTACAAGATGATGAATGGCTTACAACGGGAAAGAATAGCCATGGATGATAATTCAGACCTCAAAGTTGCCACTTAAATGGTAGCCAATGCGACCCAAATTTCAATTTGTCAACTGTCTAAAATTCAGAAGTACCAAAATGGCTACCTTGAAAAATTTCTTGTGGCGACTAAACTCTATTGCTACACGTATGTAGACACAAAAATAAATAACAGCTGATCTTGGAAAAAACATCTGCTAATAATTGTACATGCAAATAATTCCTCCTAAAGTCGACAATGATCAGAAATACAGAAATATTAATGTAATTAGTATTTTATTTCAGTTGACAATGCTCATTGGATAAGCAAGAATATACATTGTACATATCATAATAGTTATTTGATAAAAGATAATTTCAAATGCTTTTGGCTACCTACAATATTGGCTTGACTTCTTGATTTTACCACTGGCTACCTGGGAAAAAAATACTTGCAGCCATATGGCTAAACTTTGAGGCCTGTAGTTGCAGATGTATGTGGATCAAAGCAAGCTTAAAAGTGGTATGATGTGATGAATGAAAAGCATATAAAGAAAAGACAACATTCTGGACACATCAGTACCAACAATTAGAGTGTCACCAGATTACAGATTTTCTAAACATTTATAAAATATGTTTATTAAGGCCATAAAGAGATTGTAGCGCTAAGGCGATCGTAACTCTCATATTTTAACATAGACTTACAACTGTCTCAGTGCTAGGATTGCTTTGTGGAACCTGGCCCAGACATAAAGGTTCTATGTTTTACAGATGGGTGGGTTTGCCCTAAATTGTTCTTTTTAAATGAAAAGCACTTATTTGGTAAAACTATTCTGTTTGTATTTCATTATTTTAGGTACTGTACCTCATCATGCCTCAAATCCACCCTGACAACCAACTGTTTCAACATCGATATGTAGAGAATCTAAGCTTAATGTTCAACCTTATGTGTGCGTGAGCATGGATATATCTGGAACTAGCTAATGATTGGCAAGATGTTTCTGTAGCAATGAGTTCTGTGTAATATGCATGAGCAACAAAATCAGGTGGTGAGTGAGTCCCCCCACGATGTGCATCATGTGCTCCTCCCATTGGCTTCAGTCTGCAAACAGAAGGAGCAGAATCAGTGAGTACCAGCAGCATTAGCCATTGCATATTGTTTACAGGAGCTGTAGGCGCACATTAAGGCCTTTATTTAATTTGGTTAGCGGATCATCTGAGTCAAAATACTATGAAAATTGAGAATTTTGTTTTTTAATTTTTATGTTTTAAAAATATTTTTACCACTGCTGATCTGAAAGATTTCGGTATTAGAATAAAAAAATATATTCCAAGAATCCTGCAAAGTAGTAATAAGATGACTTTGACACTAAAACTTTGCAAAAGGAATTGCTTCTGCAAACATTTCCTTGAGAAACCAGTGTTGACACAATCTCATTAAAATCAGACCTTAGTTCTCGCAACCGCTAAACAAAGATCTGAAGACATCCCATTAGGGGTCACTTCAGAATGACCTTTCATCCGACCAATCAGAGCATCGCTTACCAGATCATGAAAGTGACAGTCGGAACGTGATTTCTAATCATGCAACCTCGAAAACTTTAACACAGGGTATTCCGAATGATAGTTACGGGTTTAACGACCGAATCCATACAATCATTCCAGAATGTTCTTTTGTTTAGGTTTCAAATTTGTAATCGAGAATTTGTCAAAATATGTTTCGAAGCGTAGTCGCCAATTTGAAATTTGTGCCGTAAAGCAAAAGAAAGCTGTCTTCTGATTGGTCAGTCATAGTTCCCGCAAGGTCAGTCTGACGTGACCCGTAATGGGATATCCTCAGATCTTTGTTTTGAGGTTTCTGATTTGAATGAGATTGGTGTTGACAGTAAGGGGATGTAACATGGTGGGAGAGGGGGCGGCTGCAGTAGAGAGGTGGCTGCAGTGGAGAGGGTGGCTGCTATAGAGAGAGTGGCTGCAGTAGGGAGGTGGCTGCTCTAGAGAGAGTGGCTGCAGTAGGGAGGTGGCTGCTATAGAGAGGGTGGCTGCAGTAGGGAGGTGGCTGCTATAGAGAGGGTGGCTGCAGTGGAGAGGGTGGCTGCAGTAGTGAGGTGGCTGCAGTGGAGAGGATGGCTGCTATACAGAAGGTGGCTGCTATACAGAGGGTGGCTGCAGTAGAGAGGGTGGCTGCAGTATTGAGGTGGCTGCAGTATTGAGGTGGCTGCTATAGAGAGGGTGGCTGCAGTAGAGAGGGTTGCTGCTATAGAGATGGTGGCTGCTCTAGAGAGGGTGGCTGCAGTGGAGAGGGTGGCTGCAGTGGAGAGGGCGGCTGCAGCAGAGGTGGCTGCTATAGAGAGGGTGGCTGCAGTAGAGAGGGTGGCTGCTATAGGGAGGGTTGCTGCAGTAGAGAGGTGGCTGCTCTAGAGAGTGTGGCTGCTGTAGAGAGGTGTCTGCTATAGAGAGGGTGACTGATTTAGAGAGGTGGCTGCTCTAGAGAGTGGCTGCAGGGGAGAGGTGGCTGCTATAGAGAGAGGTGGCTGCAGTAGAGAGGTGGCTGCTATAGAGAGGTGGCTGCAGTAGAGAGGATAGCTGCAGTAGAGAGGTGCCTGCAGTGGAGAGGGTGGCTGCAGTAGAGAGGTGGCTGCAGTAGAGAGGTGCCTGCTCTAGAGAGGGTGGCTGCAGTAGAGAGGTGGCTGCTCTAGAGAGGGTGGCTGCAGTAGAGAGGTGGCTGCTCTAGAGAGGGTGGCTGCAGTAGAGAGGTGGTTGCAGTAGAGAGGGTGGCTGCAGTAGAGAGGTGGCTGCAGTAGAGAGGGTGGCTGCAGTAGAGAGGTGGCTGCTATAGAGAGGGTGGCTGCAGTAGAGAGGTGACTGCTATAGAGAGGTGTCTACTATAGAGAAGGTGGCTGCAGTAGAGAGGTGGCTGCTATAGAGAGGGTGGCTGCAGTAGAGAGGTGGCTGCTCTAGAGAGGGTGGCCTCACCTTATCATGTTTATGAGCTGATGGTTCTGTGTCCGGTGTCAGCCAGGGCGCGGTCCTTGTCTTCACCTTCCCGTCAGTGGTGCCGAAGTACACCATCTTGGCCATCTTGACGAACAGTCCAGTTTCAACCACCCCTACAACAGACACACACAACACTGGCATCATGTTTTTCATTACTTGGTTTAAGAATCTGCCAACTGTAAAAAGCAAGAATGAGAAAAAATTATATTCCTGTTCAAAACTTGTCTATTTTGATCACATTTATGACAAAATAAATCACAGACTAAACTGTACATGTACCATACAAAATTCATGCTACACTTCACAAAATGCCAAATTGAAAACAAAGACTTAAAATGTTAATTTTCCCCATCCTACCTATCCCACTTATTTCACATTAACATACAAGAGCATTCAAAGGTGTTCATTATTTCTTCCACCACCGACTCAAGGCTCTGAGAAACAACCATCTGTAAGCCGACTACCGGGTAAAGAAGGTCAGGGCTACTTTTAGTCGGGATACTGGAATCATGGATGAGGCTTACCTGGAATAGTAGTGATGGTGAAGTTGATCTTTTCCCAGTCATAGGTCTTCGTTTCGTCAAAAATCCAGTCCAGGATCAGGTTTCCATTGTCAGTCACAACTGGTCCCTGTAGGAAAATACTAGGATGAGGCTAACACACACACAAAAAAATTCTCCTATTTTAAGCTATCCCTTGTTTTACAAATGGAAAACTTAGCACAGTACAAATACAGGAAAATAATATAGCTGCAAAGCAGCAATGGCGGGCTCCAAGCTATGCTGTGCACAAACGTCCATGTTCGAATCCTCAAAGGGTTTCCTTGTACCAAATCCCTCAAATGTAGGCACCACTTGTAGGGTATCGCCGCTACGAAATTGTCATGTGCCGGGGTGTCCAAGTCTGTTCTTACCCCATTTCCGACCTCAGACATGTTCGAATCCATTAAGGGTTTGCTTGTACCAATTCCGTAACAAAATAGTCACCGAAATCGCCACAACGAAATTGGCGTGTTCCAGGGGTGTCCCAAATATTAATCAAATATTACCACCAAAGATGTTACTTTTAGCATGCAACCAAGAACAAAACAATAAGATGCATATGGCACACTAACTTCATGAAAACTTTCAATAGTTTCTGTGGGGAACCTTACAAGATATGATCTTTAAAGTAAAGTTTCGGTGAAAAAAATGTTCAAAATCAAAATCCAATAGGTCCTTCGATTTAAAAGATATCCAAAATCGGCTAACAGAGTTTGATGTGCTATGTATGGAGACCATTCTCAGAAAGTGTGAAAACATTTCATGCAATGGATATAGAGGAGTATGCATTTAAAGACAGGTACCCAAAAGACAATGGTAAAACCTTGAATCCAATATGGCTGCCAAACCACGTGACCAGTGACCAAAGTCAAAGAACATCAAATGTCAAGCACCCAAAGCAGCAGACACATCTAAAGTTTGAAAGTAATTGGACAAGCGGTTGCGAAGCAATTGGGCAAAATATAGCTTTTAAAATTGCTTATTTTTCAGTTATCTGCCCTTGGTCTTTGGGCCTACGGCCTTGGAATTTGTGTGGTATCTGGTACGTAAGTATCATGATACACATACAAAATTTGAATGGAATCGATACAGTGGTTATTATGCTAGCTCTGGTACAAAACTCGGCGGAATAATAATAATATTAAATCGAACGATAGCACTGGGACTCTTCAGCTTTTCGGCTTGGTGACTCTTAACCAGACTGTAACTTCTTTGTCAGTGGAGCTCCAGTCAAATGAATGAGCGTTCTGAGTTCGTCAGGGTTTATGTCGTATTGCTGAGACAAAGTGCCAAACCTGTTTCCGACCTCGTCCATGTTCGAATCCTCAAATGGTTTGCCTGTACCAACGCCGTCAAATGTAATGAACCGCTTGTCAGACATCACCACGTGTGTCCCAGTGTGTTCTTAACCGATGTTTGACTTCGACCATGTTCGAATCCTCAAATGGTTTGCCTGTACCAACGCCGTCAAATGTAATGAACCGCTTGTCAGACATCACCACATGTGTCCCAGTGTGTTCTTAACCCATGTTTGACTTCGACCATGTTCGAATCCTCAAATGGTTTGTTTGTACCAACGCCGTCAAATGTAATAAACCGCTTGTCAGACATCACCACGTGTGTCCCAGTGTGTTCTTAACCCATGTTTGACTTCGACCATGTTCGAATTCTCAAATGGTTTGCCTGTACCAACGCCGTCAAATGTAATGAACCGCTTGTCAGACATCACCACATGTGTCCCAGTGTGTTCTTAACCCATGTTTGACTTCGACCATGTTCGAATCCTCAAATGGTTTGCCTGTACCAACGCCGTTAAATGTAATGAACCGCTTCTGAGACATCTCCACATATGTCCCAGTATGTTTTTAACCCGTTTCCGACCTCGAATCCTCATGTTCGAATCCTCAAATGGTTTGCCTGTACCAACTCCGTCAAAAGATAGTCACCGTTTGCAGGACATCACCACTACGAAATTGGTGTGTGCCAGAGTTAACCAGAGTGAAGCATGGGTTGCTGAAGTCCAATTCTAACCCTCATCTTCAAGGGCAGCATACATACTGCAAAAGACACTTGACGGTCAAAGGGAAATAACCCTAGGTTTTCTGAGCGATGTATTCGGTATTTTGTCCATATTACCACCAAGCGGTGTTACTTTTAGCATGCAGCCAAGAACAAAAGATGAGCTACATGTGTCCGACTAACTTCATGTAAACTTTCAATAGTTTCTGTGGAGAACCTTACAAGATGTGATCTTTATATAAAGGAAAACTTCGGTGAAAGAAATCATCAAAATCAAAATCAAACAGAGCCGTCACTAAGACAGATATCCAAAAACGGCTAACAGAGTTTGGTGTGTTATGTGTGGAGACAATTCTCAGAAAGTTTGAAAGCATTTCATGCAGTGGATTCAGAGGAGATAGTATTTGAAGACAGGTACCCAAAAAACCCTGTGAAAACCTTGAATCCAATATGGCAGCAACTAAAAAAGATATCCAAAATCGGCTAACAGAGTTTGATGTGATATGTATGGAGACAGTACTCGGAAAGTTTGGATGCATTTCATGCATTGGATTCAGAGGAGATAGGATTTGAAGACAGGTACCCCCAAAACCCCGTAAAAACTTTGAATCCAATATGGCTGCCAAACCACGTGACCAGTGGCCAAGATCAAAGAACAGAAAATGTTAAGCACCCTAAACAGCAGACATGTGTAAAGTTTGAAAGTAATCGGACAAGCGGTTGCGGAGCAATAAGGCGAAATATATCTTCAAAAAATACTTGTTTTTCAGTTATCTGCCCTTGGCCATTGGGCCTACGGCCTTGGAATTTTTGTGGTATCTGGTACCTAACAACTTGCACACACACACAAAATTTGAACAAAATCGAGCCAGTGGTTAAACTGCTATCTCTGGAACAAAAAACGGCGGAATAATAAATAATAATAAATAATAAATCGAACGATTACAATAGGGCTCTACAGCCTTTCGGCTTGGAGCCCTAATAATGTTGTTTGATTGAAAATATTTTTATTTTGAACAAAATATTGTCCATATTTTTTTTTAAACTTTTTTTTGGTGTCTTTTTAAATAAATGTTTCATAATTGCCTATCAAGCACAGTATTAAACATTTTTTAATATACTTTTGGTCACCAAATTAGGGGTTAACCCAAAGATTTTAGGAAAAACAAGAGAAATTGTTTGGTCTGGCCTGAAAATTAACCTAAATTCAACCATGACATGTTTTTGATTCTGTTGATAACGATCTGATCACTGATCAATGTTAGAAACTGATATTTCATCAACTTGTGGGCTACCGACAATAGATTTGAATGTACCAATCGTTGATGTGTACATTTACAATATGTTGGTGTTACATCTGAATGCAACATCTTGCAACTCAAAGATTTCTTTGTGTGACATCAAACGCCCAATACATGAGAACACACCAGAATAACAAACATCTTAGGTGATTAAAAATGCCAACAGTGATAAGTTTAATGTGTCCGATAGATCCTGGAATGTGATTATACTTTGGCAATGGCTGCCAATTGTTCAAAACAAATGTCTCCTTTTCCAAGTTGAGTCTGACATCACTCTCTTTCAGGATGCAGGATGTAGACTGTCACCATGGTCCTGTCACTGTCAGGCTTGTGTCAAGGTGACCTCCTTCCTGCATTTCCTGTTTTTGTCAGCCGAACCAACTCAACAACTTCATCACCATCCCATAGCTAGCCAGTCCCTCTAGCTGTGTTTCTCAGTCAACACAACTGACCCTTACAACTTCATCACCATCCCATAGCTAGCCAGTCCCTCTAGCTGTGTATCTCAGTCAACAGAACTGACCCTAACAACTTCATCACCATCCCATAGCTAGCCAGTCCCTCTAGCTGTGTATCTCAGTCAACAGAACTGACCCTAACAACTTCATCACCATCCCATAGCTAGCCAGTCCCTCTAGCTGTGTTTCTCAGTCAACACAACTGACCCTTACAACTTCATCACCATCCCATAGCTAGCCAGTCCCTCTAGCTGTGTATCTCAGTCAACAGAACTGACCCTAACAACTTCATCACCATCCCATAGCTAGCCAGTCCCTCTAGCTGTGTATCTCAGTCAACAGAACTGACCCTAACAACTTCATCACCATCCCATAGCTAGCCAGTCCCTCTAGCTGTGTATCTCAGTCAACAGAACTGACCCTTACAACTTCATCACCATCCCATAGCTAGCCAGTCCCTCTAGCTGTGTATCTCAGTCAACAGAACTGACCCTAACAACTTCATCACCATCCCATAGCTAGCCAGTCCCTCTAGCTGTGTATCTCAGTCAACAGAACTGACCCTAACAACTTCATCGCCATCCCATAGCTAGCCAGTCCCTCTAGCTGTGTATCTCAGTCAACAGAACTGACCCTAACAACTTCATCACCATCCCATAGCTAGCCAGTCCCTCTAGCTGTGTATCTCAGTCAACAGAACTGACCCTAACAACTTCATCACCATCCCATAGCTAGCCAGTCCCTCTAGCTGTGTATCTCAGTCAACAGAACTGACCCTAACAACTTCATCACCATCCCATAGCTAGCCAGTCCCTCTAGCTGTGTATCTCAGTCAACAGAACTGACCCTAACAACTTCATCGCCATCCCATAGCTAGCCAGTCCCTCTAGCTGTGTATCTCAGTCAACAGAACTGACCCTAACAACTTCATCACCATCCCATAGCTAGCCAGTCCCTCTAGCTGTGTATCTCAGTCAACAGAACTGACCCTTACAACTTCCCAATGCAAGGGAATTAACTGACTGTAAAAGTCCAGTTCCCAAGCGGGAATTTTGGTGTTACATTTTGGCTCGACTAGCAAGTCTTTGCATAGTCTTATCAAAATTGCTAATGCACCAGATATCAGGTTTGTAAACAATATGGATTTCAACAGAACAAAACAATTGTTTCTCTGAGAAATACATGGTACATTCGAGGGTACAATTCAATGAATAGGCAAACTTGTCTTCCCACGTTCTTTCAGTTTCCTACCAATCCACTCCATTGACGCAAGTGAGTTAACTGACTGCAAAGGTCCAGTTTCCACCCATTGGACAACTAGGCTGGAATTACGGAGTTACATTTTGACGGGACTAACACATCTATGCATAGTCCAATCAAAATCGCGTAACAAACGAGACATCCGGTTTGAAGATTTTGGTGTAGTATTTGCAAAGCATGCGTACTGTCAGCTGGGCATCGACAGACATTTTGCAAATCTTTTCATGTTTTTAATCAAGGTGCTCACGTGATTTGATGCACTTCGCGGGGAAATACTGTTTTATGACAACATAGATCTTGATTATCGATCAGATCGTCTTCACAGGGCGCAGCCGTTATGTTTGAAGCAAATGCAAGTGATATGAGAGACGGAATCTGATTGGTCAATAGGAGGAACATAGAGTGGACATAACTCGTAATAGCCACTGGTGGCGCTACGATACAGACTGGAAATTCCAGTCTAGTTCAGCAAATGCGGGAACTGGTTTTTGGACTTAGTTAACGCCCTTGATTCAGGAAGATATCATCCTAGCTGTGTTTCTTGGTCAACAGAACTAACCTAACAACTCACCGCTTTCTTCGACGCCATTCTGAGGTTAGCTAACCCTCCTAACTGTTTTTCAATCTTCAACTTGATCGGCTTGTAAGCTAGTGGAATCACTTCAATGGAGACACCTCGCTTCCACGTGGTCCCAAGCTTGTCAACATCTTTCCTGTATGAGGCAGATTCAGAGATATACAACACACTAAGGCTGAAACACTAAGCAACAAGAAGGATGCATCACCCAAGTTGACAAAATTTGATTTGTTTGGGTCAATCCCTTTGATAAAGAAGTACAAAATGTCAAGTTTCCTTTCACGGATTGTATTGTGCATCATATTGCTCACTTCCATGAACACACAGCCCTCCATATTGCTCACTTCCATGAACACACAGCCCTCAATACTGCTCACTTCCATGAACACACAGCCCTCAATACTGCTCACTTCCATGAACACACAGCCCACAGCCCTCCATATTGCTCACTTCCATGAACACACAGCCCTCCATATTGCTCACTTCCATGAACACACAGCCCTCAATATTGCTTGGATCGATGGTCATGATGTCAATCGCTGGATTCTCTGGTCCAGACTTAAGTAGTAAACATTTAGTTCTTTATTCGTAATATTTGACCTTAATTGCGTAGTTTTGTCCTTTTTTTCAACTTGGTATTTTTTCACCGAATGGCCGCCCATAGTATCCCAAATGTGTAGATCCGATGGTCATGATGTCAATTGTTTGGTCCAGACTCAATTATTTACAGACCGCCCCGTAATACAGCTGGAATATTGCTGAATGTGTCGTTAAACAACAAACAACAAACAAACAAACAAACAAACAAAACTTCCTGGAAACACCACCTGCTACAAGCCCATGCCTGATTTTACCTGGAATCTGCTACAACGATGAAGTCGCGGGCACAGGAGGCCACGATCTTCTCCTGGGTGAGGCACCCCCCGCCTCCCTTGATCAGGTCCAGGTTCGCGTCTGCCTCGTCCGCTCCATCGATGGCCACATCCAGCTGTGTGCAGCAGAAACAAGGCAGTGAGGGAGAGTTCAGTTACAATCTACAGAAGCTCACTGCAGCTTGCAGCCATTACCATAGCACAACCACCGGGGCCAAACTGGCAGTCACAGCAAACCTTGGAGCATCATCCCTCCATCAGTGGTTACATAATGATCGTGAGGATGTATTGATGCACAGTATGATTGCAATACATTTTGCCCAATAATTTAAGTTGCAAATATGTTGAAAAAACGGCACTTAAATCTTTAAATACAAGTAGACTACAAACAAGACACAAATACGTTTCCTCTAAATCTGATCTTTCACTTTGACACACTACCTCTCTGCATCAAGATATGACAACCCTCCACAAGTGAAATTTCTGATCAGCCAATCAGTGTGGTGGCTTATAAATTGGAATGAGCGGAGCAGTATCTTATTTCTGTATCTTGAAACAGAGTGCAGACAGACAGTTCGAAATGGAGATTATAAAAACCATACAATGTTGTGGATACTTTACACCTTGTCTGACCGTCATGAAATCGACACCAGGCAGCAGTACGACTGAGAGATCATATGCGCTTTGTGTGACTTTTCTTACGTTCAAACAAGTTTTTAATTGGGGAGACTGGATTGTGCATTTATTTGGACTTTTTTCTATTCTTGTTGGCAGATCTGTGATCCAATAAATGCGAAAATAATGGTCTTGTCATGAATGTTACGCATAAACCTGTTAACCATAATGAAAGTAATTATTGCCCTTGGCATGAAGCCAAATCTGTATTTAGAGGAGATGTAATAGAATTACAACATAGCAGGTTTGGATGATCTACAAATACAATACTTAAAGAGTTTATTCCAGGCCAGAAAACAACATTTCAGAGTTATTATCCTTACTGCCATTAGGATCAACCTGTTCATGTGTTGCCCAGTGTGTCGAATGTTGTGTAAGCTGGCAAGAGCTGTACACGTCAATAACCAGCCCACTCACTGCACTGGTTCAAGTACACACGATCAGTAAATAAACATCTGTCAAGATATACAATACGCAAGCCAAAAAGGCTATACTTTTGCTGAACTACTTGTTTTTTTATTTTGTTATGCCTATTTGTATGGACGAGATTCAGAGTTCAATCAATCAGTTCCTTACTGTATGAAAGCAGAGCTTTTGGTGTTGTGGGTATTTTACCCATGCATTTTAAAATCATTGGGTATCAGTAATTCTGGGTATTCAAATTTCTGTTACCCACTAGTTTTTACACATATGGGTATTTAAGTTAAATATTTAAAAACACTATTCATCTAGTCCCTGCAAACTGGTGTTGTGTGGGTTCGAGAGCTTTATAGGACTCAAAAATACCACGATACTTCCACAGGAAAGTGTGATGGCAAATGATCATGATGTAACTGTCATCGTGGATTTTGGCAAGGTTGACGGAATGCCCATTTATAATTTCAAAATAAGTTGCTGATTTGCTAATTGAATACGCAGGGTTACTTCACAATACTTTGATGATACGCACAAGTTTTATTTATGTAGCGTTTCTGTAATGTTCGTTGCATATTTGATATGCTTGGATTTTATTTTACTGCATATTTCTGCATTTCTGATGCGTATTTTACGCAGATACGCAGCTTATCTGGAGCTCTGTGAAAGGCCACAGGCCCATATACAACAGAGTTACATCACATATTTTTTAAGATACAAAGTCAAGGTCACAATTCACTTCGTAACAAAAACGTATGATGTATGTCCAAAGCCAGTTGATGTTAGAAGATCCTTGCAGGACAGTAATGAAGACATTACTGTACTGTAAGTTTGATCAATAATATTTTGGTTCAAGCAATGTTTCGAACGGATGATAATTATCATATCTTGAACATTCTTAATATCAGAGTTATTTTGCAAATGGAGATATATTATCATGATTATGTGTATTTGCTGCAGCTACTCAGCCTGGCCCTCCGGAGCTCCGTCTCACCTCCGAGTTTCTCTCCAGACTCCCCAGCACCAAGTCATGCTCCTGGATCAGCTGTTTGGCCTACAATGTAACACATAGTCCCCTTTGTAGTCCTGTATATGTCACAGAGAGTTTGTTTGTTGTTTACACCGCACTCAGCAGTATTCCAGCTGTATGTTGGTGTCTGTAGGTAATCGAGTCGGGGCCAGACAAACCAGTGATTGATGGCATGAGCAAAGATCCATGCGGCCCGGGTACGATGTCAGGCCATTAACCAAGTCACGGAGTCACCTCTCATGACCATGGTTTGCTAGGGAACGACTCTAACTGGGCATCCCTACAGAGCTACAAAGAATATGTATAATCTCAGAAATCCGGGAAATACACTCCTACGTCAACGACTTAATAATGCATAATATCTTCATCCAACACTGTTGATGGACCCATTCAATGCAAGAAGACAAAGTCATATATGCGTTATATCCCCCGCCCTGTATATCATTTTCAAAACTCTAAATTGTAATTCCAAAACACTATTGCAAACAAATTTAAACATTTCCTGAATTAAAGAACGATACTTTGTTTGCTTACTTAAGAAATAAACGACTCCTGGTAGTTTATTTCTTATGTGAGCATGGTGAATTTTAACATTTTTTCCCAGCCCTTTTAAGGCATTTAATAAAAATGCACAAGCTTGTGTGTGTGTGTGTGTGTGTGTATGTGTGTAGTATTCTGACATGCACTTTTTTTTATCCGTGTGTGTGTGTGTGTGTTTAGTATTCTTACATGCACTTTCTTCTAAAGGTGTGTGTGTGTGTGTGTGTGTGTTTAGTATTCTGACATGCACTTTTTTTATCCATGTGTGTGTGTTTGTTGGTGCTTGTTTGTGTGTGTGTGTGTGCGTGCGTGCTTTCGTGCGTGCGTGTGTGTTTGGTATTCTCACAATTTTTCATGTCGATTATCTGCACTTTTTAACCCAATTTAACTGATTGTCGTATGTCTCCCACTTTTGGATGCAATTGTTCGGCCATAGCATATATCTGCTTCATCCAGCTACTTAAATGGGGAACAGCTCACTAGACACTTTCCTCTCAAGAAAAAAGTAGTCAAATTAACAATGTGATCAAGTTGTGAGCGACATTCGAATCTCCAGCAATGACGTCATGATAGAACAATGTATTATTATGAAAAAAACTGTTCTTCATTGTTCTTTGCGATTAACCATGTAGCTGTCTTATACTTTTTTCTTCACACTGCATCATGAGCTATGTCCCACCCTGTCACACACTGCTCCAAGTCATTTCAGTGGCCTCTCACGACCAGGGGTTCTATCGTACCCAGAACTACAACAGGGTTGTATCATGTATCATGTTTTATGTGCTTACACCTTTTCATGGAGAAATATTGAACGGTTTATGAGCAATGCTCCGAAATCGAAAAGAAGTCACAGCATGTTTCTGTATCCTTGGCAGAACTTCACTTAGTTGGAGGAAAATACTATCTGTGGGCAGACAGAGTAAGTACCTGGAATGAGGTCGGAATGCAGACAAGATTGAGTTTTTCCTCTTTAACTCTTTGAACTGGAAGAAAACAATACAAAAGCTGCAATATTAATTTACACATTGGACATGCTACAGTCAAACAAAACATCAATTAATAATTTCATCAAATATCAGCTAAACCATATAAACACAGGTCCACCTTTATTCACAACTTTGTTCCCCCTGAAATGTGTGGGTCATCTGATACCCACTGATGGCCGACAGGCTGCACACACATGATCAATGTATCACTCGTGTGTTGCACACACTTTTGCCGATGTTCAGTGTCTGCGCAGGCCTGCATGCGTGCGTGTGCAGCTGCTTGTACTCTCAATTCTATGAATTCCTATGAAAAGGATATATAGTATACAAGTAAATGGAATTTAACTGAGCATGAAGGATTATAAAAACCATATTTTGTAGGGCTGGCTAAAATGATCGATAATTGGAATTATCTTTGATGTGAAGAAATATTTACGATTATCGACGTAAAATTGTTGTCATCGATAAATGCTTACACAAACTATTGTAACGAAATAAAGTTTAGATTTTCCTTGACCTGTTAGTGTCAATCATGTCAATTGTCGAAGAAGTATAGCAACTGTTTTTGTTATATCTCAAAATGTCAACAAAATAGTCCATGCATGAATGTGTCACTGCTCACAAGTGGCGTGAAATATGTTGATTTCTTTTGGGACTTTCTTGCACATTCGCTTATAGTTACTTCTCTGATGTTGATTGATACTTGATCAATATTTTGTTTGTGATTATCGATCTCTATGATCTATTTCGATAGCCAGCCCTTATCATGCTTATATTTTGAAATCTTCCTCGCTTGTACTACTCCAGGCTAATACCGGCTTAATACTACCCCACTTTTATACCATGCCGCAGTTTAAAATGGATATCCATTATCCAACATAGACACAGTGTACTGACTCGGAGCCAACCAGTCTTTGTTCAAACCCCTTAATCCTGAGTGCCAGGCAAGGTAACAACAAGTACACTCTTTTGATATGATGTGGGGATCAAACCCCGCCCTTCTCCTTGTCAGAATGATGCTCTATCCACTACACCACGGAGGCCATCAAAAGCCATGACAAACAAAACTAGCATTTTAACTGGCCTTTTGTCCTGTATATTAAACCTCCATATGTTGACCTGTCTCACGCTTGTCATGCTACACGGAGCATGCTGAAGTATCACACACCCTGCCTGCAGACTGACACAGCTCACAGATTCCCGGTTCTCATCATGAGTCGGCACAATTGACTGGAACACATCCAGACACTGCCCTCCCAGCAAACCACAACCTTATATGCAGAGTCACTGTGACACAGAGCTTCTCCCATGTAATAAAGCTGCTGTTACATCGACACAAGAGCTGTGTGGTGTGCTACTCTCACCGTATTGCACGTCCAGATCCTGTTCATTTCACACAGTAGAATATGTTCATCGTAACTCAATCTGTCAAGTGTACACCATCTGCATGATGTGTGAGATTAACAAGTGATCTGTTACATACTACATACCACTAACATTTGCTAGGGATTGTGAGGTATTCCATATATATATCAAACTAGAAGAGTTCAGAGTATACATAGAATATGAATTAGGAAATGATTTGTTTCCTTAACATGATATGAATTAGGAAATGATTTGTTTCCTTAACATGAAGCTGCACTTGTTCAAATTGGTAATACTGACAACTATTTGTCTGCCAACATCTAAGTGATTCTCTCACCAATCTGTCACCGTAAATCCCAACCTGAATGCTATGAATACCTAGGAAAAATTAATTAGTATACAAGTAAACGAAATTTCATTAAGTGTGTACGATTTTAAGAAGTTTATTTTGAAATCTTGACTATAGCTCACACAAGGGAACATCGATGCACGGTCCAGTGTTGTTTGTTGTTTTACGCCGCACTCAGCAATATTCCAGCTATGTGATGGCGGTCTGTAAATAATCGAGTCTGGACCGGACAATCAAGTGATTCACATCATCAGCATCGATCCAAGCAATTGGGATACGATGACATGCATCAACCAAGTCAGCGAGCTTGACCTGTTAGTCGCCTCTTACAACATGCATAGTCGCCTCTGAAGACCTATTCTACTCTGGATCTTCACGGGTCTCAGGGTCGACTGACATAAGGAAGGATTTTATATTATGTGGCTTACGTATCAGTCGTAAACATTTGACTGGTGACAAAAATTCAGTTGAAGTCAATTTGGGATGGGAAGTAATGCTTTGGAAACTAATTGAATAAACATTACCGTGATACTAAACATGAATAAACAAAACTATATATTTTGAGAGAAAAAAAATTCAGAAGCAGTGTAACTGAACATGCTGAAAAGAGGCCTAATATACTAGTCAACATTTGATAGGGATATTCTGATCTTTCCAAGGTGCACCAAACTAACTCTCACAATATGTCAAGCTTATATTAAAATAAAATGACATATCTGATTATCCTCATCAATTGCTGAGTGGTATCTATCACTTGCTACAGTGAGTGAGTGGGTGAGTGAGGGAGTGAGAATTGTACATCACATCGGCAATATTGCAGCCATATCGCAGTGGATGAAGAGATGAAGTTCAGATGGAGATGTGTATGTACAAGTATGGAGCACATACAGTGTTCAGTATACATACTGCATGGGTTCATGATGTGGTGGGGCAGAATAGATGTTGGATTCATTAAACTAATATAGGCACTTTGACAGGCTGTGGGTTTAAACTGGGGGTGTATTTATAATATAGAATATAAGGTTTATGTATTCTCAGAGTCCAGTTTGTTACGTACAGTGATCCCTCGCTACAACGCTACCTTTGGGTCCAAATAATTGACGTTATCGATGATCAGCGGTTTAACAAAGGTGGAGTCGTAGGTGGTAGATGACCAACAAAACAGTATACATGTTCTGCCTACCTAACACGATCTACGTTGCACGTTTCAGAGTTTCAAAGAATATTAGAATAGAAGTTATTTATGATTCATAGCTTAAAATATTTTCTATCCAGTATTAATATGCGCTTAAAAAAACCCCCAAATTGTGTCCCTTCAGCGAATTCAGTTGAATAGTTGAATAGACAGGTATAACAAACTTTGTCAATAAAAGAATGAAATTTGATATAAAACATCACTAGACATGATGATTTACCATTTAAAATGTATTTCCTGCTCTCCAAGGCACTGTTTTATATGCAGAGATTAAGATTACCGTGTGTGTTTTCTCGTAAACTAAGAAAGGAAACAACAATCAGCTGTGCGCACGTTTCCCCCGAAACTAACGGTGATTTATTCAAAAAGTACCCAATGATACAACTTCGAAGAATTTTGATGCAAAGGTCAGAAGAAATTGTATCTGAAATTATTACTTTATCAGGAATAATATATTCCAATATCGTGATATTTTAGTTGCAGCGTCTGCCATATATTCTTAAAATAATTTAAATTAAATTAAAATTTAAATTATAAGAACCACAAGCGTCAAATAGTCTGTTTAATGTCAATATAAAATGTATTGATAAACCCCTGACCCGTACGTACAATGTACTGACCAGTACGTACAATGTATTGACCAGTACCTACAATGTACTGACCAGTACGTACAATGTACTGACCAGTATGTACAATGTATTGACCAGTACCTACAATGTATTGACCAGTACGTACAATGTACTGACCAGTACCTACAATGTATTGACCAGTACGTACAATGTACTGACCAGTACCTACAATGTACTGACCAGTACCTACAATGTATTGACCAGTACGTACAATGTATTGACCAGTACCTACAATGTATTGACCAGTACGTACAATGTACTGACCAGTACGTACAATGTACTGACCAGTACCTACAATGTATTGACCAGTACCTACAATGTACTGACCAGTACCTACAATGTACTGACCAGTACGTACAATGTATTGACCAGTACGTACAATGTACTGACCAGTACGTACAATGTACTGACCAGTACGTACAATGTATTGACCAGTACCTACAATGTATTGACCAGTACGTACAATGTACTGACCAGTACGTACGATGTATTGATCAGTACCTACAATGTACTGACCAGTACGTACAATGTACTGACCAGTACGTACAATGTACTGACCAGTACCTACAATGTATTGACCAGTACCTACAATGTATTGACCAGTACGTACAATGTACTGACCAGTACCTACAATGTACTGACCAGTACCTACAATGTATTGACCAGTACCTACAATGTATTGACCAGTACGTACAATGTACTGACCAGTACGTACAATGTACTGACCAGTACCTACAATGTATTGACCAGTACCTACAATGTACTGACCAGTACCTACAATGTACTGACCAGTACGTACAATGTATTGACCAGTACGTACAATGTACTGACCAGTACGTACAATGTACTGACCAGTACGTACAATGTATTGACCAGTACCTACAATGTATTGACCAGTACGTACAATGTACTGACCAGTACGTACGATGTATTGATCAGTACCTACAATGTACTGACCAGTACGTACAATGTACTGACCAGTACGTACAATGTACTGACCAGTACGTACAATGTACTGACCAGTACCTACAATGTATTGACCAGTACGTACAATGTACTGACCAGTACGTACAATGTACTGACCAGTACGTACAATGTACTGACCAGTACCTACAATGTATTGACCAGTACGTACAATGTACTGACCAGTACGTACAATGTACTGACCAGTACGTACAATGTACTAACCAGTACGTACAATGTACTGACCAGTACGTACAATGTATTGACCAGTACATACAATGTATTGACCAGTACGTACAATGTATTGACCAGTACGTACAATGTATTGACCAGTACATACAATGTACTGACTAGTATGTACAATGTACTGACTAGTATGTACAATGTATTGACCAGTACGTACAATGTATTGACCAGTACGTACAATGTACTGACTAGTATGTACAATGTATTGACTAGTATGTACAATGTATTGACTAGTATGTACAATGTTTTGATCAACTGTGGGTGAAGCCACCTGGTTGGTGTTTCCTTGGAGTGAAAGCTGTCAACATACAACCATCGGTTGTCCCATCTGGGGGTCGACTAGAAGTAGAACAGAGGTTTCCACTAACCAGAACATAGAGGGTGAAGCAATCAGACACATCCGCTGCCTAGGATATAAGCCACCTCTACCAAGCCGCTAGTTAACTTTGGTTAAGTCTAAAACATATATTGGGAACTTCTGAATTCAAATTTGTAATTTTTACAGAGATTTGCTGCAGACTTGGGGCCCAATATCATAAATATTAGCATCTGATGAGGTGTAGATAAATCCACACTATACATATGAAGCCAGACAAATACTCTCCACTGTGATGGAGGTGATGCATATCAGTGCAAACAAGAGTCACACAAACATGGCCTTTGACATGTACGCTGACCCAGACATGCAGACATCATGCTTACCTATCCTCTCCACTGCAAACACTATGGTAGATCCGCTGCCAATACCAATCACTTGGTTGTCCTGGAAACAAACAAAATGTCACTCAACTCTGTGATTAGAAAACAGGAGGCACAGGCGCTGAACAAGAAAACAGCAATACCTTAGGCCACTGCTCCACCCCATAGAGTACAAACAGAAAGTGATTACCGTATTCACTTGGACACTGAGAAAGTTGATGATGGTGGGGGGAGCTGCTTATCAAAACAAAAAACAAAACATTAAATTCCGTCCACATGTTGAAATTATGACCTTTTTGATAAAAGTTAAAATGTAATTATATTCCTGTTCCACATGTTCTACAACGCTATTTTCTGTTAGAAATTTGTACTGCAAATGAGAACATATTAATGGTCATGTAAACATGGTAAAGTATTGTCATATTGGGTACACCCACAACATGGAATTAAACTTTGTGGGGGGCACTTATTGGAGCAGGGTACTTAATATGGCGAATATGGTATGCGTGGGTTTTATAGTCTAGTATTGTCAGATTTAAGTTAAACGTTTTCCATAAAACAAATAAGTGGATTGTGCTTATTTTCAGGATTACAGTGAGCACAAGACACAAATTTATAACACTATATGCCAACGTCATGCTTCGAAATAGCAACATATCAGGATCACTCACTTAGCAAAACATTTAGCATGAAAACACCAAAAATATTACGGTATATCATTCAACTTTCCCAAATAAGTTTACCTCATCTGGATAAAACCATCATGTTAGTCTCCAAGAACATTATAATTCTTAACATGTTAGTGTTCAAATGTTTGAGCAAACATTCCTACATTGTTCATATATAGGCTTGAAATTAAGGCCTTAAAATTTGTGTATGTGTGGAGGGGGTACAACGACTGACAAAAAATACCAACTGATGTTAGAAGAAAGAAAATATAACTTTTGACAAAACATTTTAGCTGATGCTGCTTTACAACATGATACAGTAGGTGAAATGAAAAACATGAGATTTTATCAGTGCTGAAAGAACTGGTGAACAATATGTATTAAAATCTTTACCCTAAGTAAAATCAACCCATCAATTATCTTTTTATAAATGTACTTCCATGATCATGATGATTTTGTGACCTGACAGTTTGTTTTTCACTCATAATGGCGGTACTAATCTAGAAGTTGAATATCCTTTAACACGTTTTAACTTCCCTTTTTGACCACAAAAATTTAATATTTACATTTACATTTTGTAATCCATTTTTTAAAAATAAAAAACTGTAAGGTAACCCTATTGCCAGGTAATGCCTGAAAAGGTGTCAACCTCATTCCAACTGTCAGCATGGACATGAAAACTGGGTCTCCAAAGTACGGAAACTGCTTTGCAAATATGGTTTTGGTTATGTGTGGGTAGTCCAGTCAATTTATAACAGAAACTACTTCTTATAATTATTTCACCAACGATGTAAAGATGTATATTTCCAAGAGTGGAACCATGAAATATCCATATCAAGATACCTAAAATTCTACTCAATGATTAAACATGACTACAATCTCGAGAAATACTTATTTATCAATAATGCAGGCTTACGGAGACGCCTGACAAAGCTACGTTGTAATATTCATGGTAGTGTAAATTCTAATAGAAAGTACCAAATACCAGATACATCTTGTCATTATTGTAACACACAAGTTGAAGATAAACTCCATGTCGTGTTGGTATGTCCGGCTTACAACCATTTACGTGTTAAATATTTTCCAACTTATTATTATTATCAACCAAATATCAGGGTATGAAACTCCCAAAAATTTCAGCCAGACCACAGGACTGGCTAGCTGAAATACTTGCCAGCCCTGACCAAAACCTGCCTGCCCACTATAATCATATGTTTCTCAGGATAAGCTAACGGGGTTTGTTTTTGGTTACATTTTATCATTCATCTTTACATGTGAATTAATGCTTATCATCGGGAAATATTTTGAATATTTTCACATATGAAATATAACCCGAGCGCCGGGCAGGGGGATTTGAAAATCTGGCAGCCCGAGTTGAAATCAACCCGTCTCGGACGGTCGGGCAGGCAGGTATTTTGAACACTGCAAATATGTACAAATTTATTAACTTGTTGAACATGGTTGATTATGACAAGTTACTTAAGCTCTGTATTTTCCTTGATAAAGTCTTTAAAATAAGAAATAATATAATTGTATTGTGAAAGAAAATAGAATCCTGTTAGTGGCATCGTATCATTTTATTGTCCCATATTTTACACATGTTGTACGGTTGGCCTTATGGCCATTTATACGGAATAAATGACTTGACTATTTGTTTAACTGTATCACTTCTAATAACATGACATGACTACCACAAAAGCCGAATGTCTTCTTATTTCTCATAAACTACCAGAAAACCACATATTGATACATGCAGTAATTACGAAGAATACCAACTAACGATATCTGTTCCGTTAAACCGTTGTTAAAATATACAAATACAAGATCAGATGAATATTGTTCTAACATGTGGTAGGCATTGATAACCCAAATTGTTTTGACATGATCCCCATCAGAAAGTCACTGTCACACATCATATCACTGTCCAAAACAAAAATCTAAATATACCAAGAGCACGTGCATTGAAACCCTTGTGAAGTGCACCTCCATTTAAAGGTTTATCAACAACAAACTTGTGTTACCCTGATGTGATCGTTCACTGCCTGGACAGCTGCAGCGCGCTTGCCTGTTGTGATTCCGTCCTCCATGGCCTCTGAAAACGATCGTTTTCCCATTCTAATTAAGTATGATAAGTATAAGGGGCGGTCACATGAGCGGAATAACAAATTTCTCACTGGTGAGATTAGTACGCGACACATGTGTGCTATTCAAGTCGGAAGTGACCTTTGATCGAATTCTCATTTGACTATAGCTCCACACAGCGTATTTAGAAGAAAAGCAACTATCTATTGTAAATGCACTGTTCGGAGTTTTGCACGGCGCCACCTGTATTATTCAATTTTACGCCATTTATCTCCCCTATTTAGTAATGTCGCGTACATATAAGTCATCACTGTCTTATAGTTAAAAAAACATACACAAACACTGCGGGTTAATTTCTGCCGCGATATGTCTTAAAGTACAATCTGTACAGAATTAAGTCGGTACATGACAATGACACTCTCATCCTTTCCTAAAACCCATCTCAATCTCGACGGGACAGTGGTGAACCTTTGGTGAAGGTGAAGGTCGTTTCAACCTGACCTTGGCAAGAGGTAAACAAAAACAGAGGAAGCGAGAATGTGATATCACACTCACAGTTCGGTATCATCTCCACAACAACCATGAACGGTTTTCAAAGCCTTTTCAAAATCCAAAGTGGTTTCAAAGCAACAAATGGTATTTAATGCAAGGATTATTTACCTAACTTGCACCTGTGAAGATCCGAGATAGAACAGGTTTTCAGCAACCCATGCTTGCCGTAACAGGCGACTATGCCTGTCGTAAGAGGCGACTAACGGGATCGGCTGGTCAAGCTCGTTGACTTGGTTGAAGCATGTCATCGTATCCCAATTGCGTAGATCGATGGTCATGATGTCAATCACTGGATTGATTGGTCCATACTCAATTATTTACAGACCGCCGTCATACAGCTGGAATATTGCTGAGTGCGGCGTTAAACAACAAACTAACCAACCTAACTCACAGACACACTTGATTTCCCCTGAACAGGACCTCATTACTCGGGCCCTATGATATTTAAAAGGGCTGGCTAATTGAATCGGGTGGATCCTGATTAGGACCACATGACTGCCCGGACCCGTGGTTATAGTTAGGTGATATATTCTGTAATGACAAAAAACCCACTATACCTCAGTGGTTACACTACAAGTCGCTAATGATCGCATTTCTTTCTGACGATGCACACATTGCTTTTGACTTGTATATGTTTGATTAAAGATAAAGCTTTGGTCTACTTCAGTGTACGCATGATCTGATAGTTTGATACATGTATTAAAATAGTTTTGGTGTGGCCTGCAGTAAAACAATTCCCAATCAGACATTTTGTTCCCAACTCTTGAGACCTTGAGTGGGTACCTGGGTAGGATCGTGGAAGTGACCTCAGCCAGGGATTGTTTCGCTTGCAAGTGACTGAAAGTTAGTCCACTGTTGTAAGGTGAATCACTTGCAAGCGATTCACACTTTGCAAAGCACCCCTAGATCATGAACCTATTGTACCCATCTGACAAGTGTAAATTGGCACGGCTCCAATGGCCAAAAGCTATGAATACACAATGCCATTTAGAAAGTGGTTAAAAGTAACAAATGTTATACTTAGACAATCCATTTAGATACTGCATAGATAAGCGGATACTGCTTTTGAAAAAGAACTTACCCCTAAGATATCAGAGTTCGGAGATCCAGCTCTTGCTGCACAATGTCACTTGGATGTAGAGTAAACATAAACAGCGGGTGCAGAATATTACGTAATAGTGTCACAACATTTTAAAATGTTTGTGTGATGTCAGTTTTTACAAACGTTTTAAGAACATGTTAAAAACATTAAATTTTTTATACATTTTCAAAAACGTTTTAAGACATTTTAATAACTAGTCATGAAAAATAATTAAATGTGAATGTGTCTTGTACCATAGATCTATTTTTATCCACTTCTCAACGGTCTCTCTCACACCCCAACAAAATATGCACAACTAAATGTAATTGCCTGTGACACTGTCTGTGATCAGCAACAAACAAATCATGTGAAGTTTTGTCTTACTCATATCTGCTATATTTTCTTTGGACATTTAGTCTACAGATTAAACTGTAACTGTTGTGAAAATGTTATACTACTGCATTACCAATCCCCAGCATTATGAACACGGAGTGTGCGGGCTGGGGAACTTGTGTTCAACTGAAGGCTGTTGGGGTCGTAATCGGTACTCACTTAATACATGACGATAACATTTCATGAAAATATATTCTAGCATAACATTTCTGCAATGTGTTGAAAACATTGCAAAAACATGTTACGAAACAGTATCGCCCATGTTACAGCATGATGTTCTTGAATAACATTTTAAAAACATTTCAAAAACATTTTGAATAATTATGAAACATTTAAACCTTATTCGGATGATTTTACATATGTGTACACAATGTATTTAAAACATGATGATAACATTTCATTAAATATGTTCTGGCAAAACATTTCTGCAACGTGTTGAAAACATTGTAATAACATGTTATGAAATAGTTTCGCCTATGTTATAGCATGATGTTCTTGAATAACATTTTGAATAGTTGTAAAACATTTCTAAAACGTTAATGGAATGTTTTGACGAAAATGTTTTTGAAAAACTACAATCAAACCTTTTGAAAATGTTTTGTGTTAGCTGGGTATAGAGACCATCTGTTTCAGACCAATTTTCAGTGGCACAGTGAGTATGATTTGAAAACATTAAATAAATAAAAAGCTACAAATGTGTTTTTCTGTTCATAGGTAGGTCCACACTGAAACCATCCCTCCCAACTCAGTCGCTGCCAGCATTGCCTCCCCCACCCCCTGACAGCCATCACGGCCTCCCCTACACAGGCTCCGACAGCTCGCTGGTACACAGTATAGCTGCAAGATTTGTGCTTTCTGCATCTCGGCCACAGGATCACGGTGATGGTCAGTATACTCAACAACAAAAGTAACTGATCATAACAATTTATTTAACTGAAAGTGTATACAAACGTTGATGATGTGGACTTTGTACTTTACAAATTCATCAATCTTCTTACTTGTGAAGACAGACCATTTTAGCTTTTAGCTGTTTGATGTTAATTGCTTTAAAAAATCTCGATCATGTTTCACACATCTAATGGGTATTAAAACACATTTCATTTCGGCATGTTCACCCCAATCATTTCACCATAACTTGTGAAAAGTATACATCTAGCTGGGCAAAATTTAAAAAAAAGTATTTAAAAAGATTGAAAAAGGCTATCTTTGAAAATACAGTAAACTACGTTTAGAACGAATAGGCTTACAATGAAGTGAGGAACTGAACTGTTCGTTATAACCATAGTATAACTGAACTGTTCGTTATAACCATAGTACAACTGAACTGTTCGTTATAACCATAGTACAACTGAACTGTTCGTTATAACCATAGTACAACTGAACTGTTCGTTATAACCATAGTACAACTGAACTGTTCGTTATAACCATAGTACAACTGAACTGTTTGTTATAACATAGTACAACTGAACTGTTCATTATAACCATAGTACAACTGAACTGTTCGTTATAACCATAGTACAACTGAACTGTTCGTTATAACCATAGTATAACTGAACTGTTCGTTATAACCATAGTATAACTGAACTGTTCGTTATAACCATAGTATAACTGAACTGTTCGTTATAACCATAGTATAACTTTGGGAAATATGTGTACACACAACAAATAAATCATAATTAGATGTGTGTGTGTGTGCGTGTGTGTGTGTGTGTGAGTGTGTGTGTGCGTGTGTGTGTGCGTGTGCGTGTGTTGTTGTGTCAATCTCAATAAGATCCTAGAAATATGGAAATCTGATAATGGCTTGATGGTCCTCAGTACATGTACTTATTGGGTTTTTTCTGAAACTACAAAATACTCCACTGCTTATAAATCTTCAGGTTCAAATGTTTTTTCTGCTTATTTTATTGTCTACAATTGTTTATTTCAGTAATCGATGGAAACAAAACTCCCCAATCTAAGGGAGGTAACCCAGTTAGACAACAACAGCTATTTGCCACACCATCACAGGAGCTTCACAGAAACCCAGGAAATGTTGAAACAGCGAGAGAAAAGGTGAACATGTTTGAATACTGATAATCATTATCATGATGTGATAAAAGTAATTAGAGTAAGAGGAGTGTTCATTAAAGATTTCCCCTGACCCACGTCCGATGGACCTAGTGGAATGAAACTTGGCATAGGTATTAGTCTTTCTCCACATAGGAACCACCAAGAGTTACAACTTCTCCCATCGTTTGATGCAACTATGGAGACCTCGCTTGTAAAAGCCCTCATTTTGCATCTCAAACCAGGACTTGACTTCAGAAATCAGTGTTTCATCATCTGTGAAACGTTTTCCCTTCAAAAATGACTTCATGGTTGGAAAGAGGTGGAAGTCAGATGGTGCAAGGTCAGGAGAGTAAGGAGGATGGGGAAGGATTTCATAGCCACAGGACCGCGCTTCTGTCTGGGCAACATGAGAGTTGTGTTCTGGAGCATTGTCTTGCAGGAGACGGACACCCTTGGTCAGCATGCCACACCTCTTAAGCTTGATAGCGTCCCGCAATTTCCGCAGCAGTGAAGCATAGTAAGCTCCTGTAATTGCGGTACCCTTTGCCAAGAAATCCATCATCACTGCTCTGTGCTGGTCCCAAACACCGTGAGCATGACGATGCCTGCAGAGGGTTGGACCTGTGCCTTCTTTGGGGGTGGTGACTCCACATGCTTCTATTGCATCGACTGAACTTTAGTCTCAGGATCATAGTGATGGACCCATGTTTCATCCTGTGTCATAAGTCTGTCAAAAAAGTTTGCCTGTTTCTTTTGGCACATGTCCAAAAGAGCAATTGACTCATTCCTGCTTTTGGAAAGGTGTGAGCAACCTGGGAATCCATCGTGCAGACACCTTATGCATGTTCAAATTGTAATGGATGATTTTTTCCACAGACCCTACACTGATCTTGACATCTTGTGCTAACTGGCGAACAGTTATACGTCGGTCTGCCAAAATGGTGGTCTCCACTTGATGGATAGTGTCCTCATCAATGGCTGAATGGGAGCGACCAGGAATGGCAGCTGTTTCCACAGATGTCCGACCACACTTGAACTGGCGATGCAAGTGTTTAACGTCATATGATGGGGCATCTTCCCCATAAGTTGCTTTCATTTCATCGAAAGTTTCTTTTGGTGTGCGACCTTTCAAATATAAAATTCTAATCACTGCTCGGTATTCTACTGGCTCCATTGTCACACCCTACTCTATCATAACACCTGTAAAAGTGGTAAGATTAATAGTTCGGTGCTGCAAATTCAGACATAACCCATAGATACATGTATCATTACACATGTGAAATTTCAACCAAATATGATAACCCTAAGTGGTTTAGGGGAAATCTTTAATGAACACCCCTCGTATGTATCTGCTGTCTTTCAAAATGTCATAAAAATTGGTACTTGTGTCGTTAATGGTGGCTTTCAACACATACTGGAAACTGAAACTTTGACATTTGAAACTATTGACATTTGAACCAGGTGAGCTACAGTGCTTCTGGAACAAAGTGACGTGTTGGCTTAGTTGTAGATAGTGGTGTGTTGTCACTCATAATAATATTCATCATTAATGATTTCTTCACATTGGTAATATTTTGGGAGGCTTTTGGCCTTTTAACATCTTTTCTTATCCTTAGTCATGGGCCTGACTATCGCTGTCATCTAAGGCATGGAATTGCTGTGCAAAGTTGGTTCACAGATAATGATGAAATGTAACACACATAATGATGACATGTAACACACATAATAATGACATGTAACACACATAATGATGACATGTAACACCCATAATTATGACATGTAACACCCATAATAATGACATGTAACACCCATAATTATGACATGTAACACACATAATAATGACATGTAACACCCATAATGATGACATGTAACACACTTAATGAAATGTAACACACATTATAATGACATGTAACACCCATAATGATGACATGTACCACCCATAATGATGACATGTAACACACATAATGATGACATGTAACACCCATAATGATGACATGTAACACACATAATGATGACATGTAACACCCATAATGATGACATGTAACACACATAATGATGACATGTAACACCCATAATGATGACATGTAACACACATAATAATGACATGTAACACACATAATGATGACATGTAACACACATAATGATGACATGTAACACCCATAATGATGACATGTAACACCCATAATGATGACATGTAACACACATAATGATGACATGTAACACACATAATGATGACATGTAACACCCATAATGATGACATGTAACACACATAATAATGACATGTAACACACATAATGATGACATGTAACACACATAAAGATGACATGTAACATACATTATAATGACATGTAACACCCATAATGATGACATGTAACACCCATAATAATGACATGTAACACACATAATAATGACATGTAACACACATAATGATGACATGTAACACACATTATAATGACATGTAACACCCATAATGATGACATGTAACACCCATAATAATGACATGTAACACACATAATGATGACATGTAACACCCATAATGATGACATGTAACACACATAATAATGACATGTAACACACATAATGATGACATGTAACACACATTATAATGACATGTAACACACTTAATGAAATGTAACACACATTATAATGACATGTAACACCCATAATGATGACATGTAACACCCATAATGATGACATGTAACACACATAATGATGACATGTAACACCCATAATGATGACATGTAACACCCATAATGATGACATGTAACACCCATAATAATGACATGTAACACACATAATGATGACATGTAACACCCATAATGATGACATGTAACACACATAATAATGACATGTAACACACATAATGATGACATGTAACACACCTAATGATGACATGTAACACACATTATAATGACATGTAACACACTTAATGAAATGTAACACACATTATAATGACATGTAACACCCATAATGATGACATGTAACACCCATAATGATGACATGTAACACACATAATGATGACATGTAACACCCATAATGATGACATGTAACACACATAATGATGACATGTAACACCCATAATGATGACATGTAACACCCATAATGATGACATGTAACACCCATAATGATGACATGTAACACCCATAATGATGACATGTAACACACCTAATGATGACATGTAACACCCATAATGATGACATGTAACACACTTAATGATGACATGTAACACACCTAATGATGACATGTAACACACATTATAATGACATGTAACACACATAATGAAATGTAACACACATTATAATGACATGTAACACCCATAATGATGACATGTAACACACATAATGATGACATGTAACACACATAATGATGACATGTAACACACCTAATGATGACATGTAACACACCTAATGATGACATGTAACACACATTATAATGACATGTAACACACATAATGAAATGTAACACACATTATAATGACATGTAACACCCATAATGATGACATGTAACACCCTTAATGATGACATGTAACACCCTTAATGATGACATGTAACACACATTATAATGACATGTAACACCCATAATGATGACATGTAACACCCATAATGATGACATGTAACACCCATAATGATGACATGTACCACACATAATGATGACATGTAACACACATAATGATGACATGTAACACCCATAATGATGACATGTAACACACATAATGATGACATGTAACACACATAATGATGACATGTAACACACATAATGATGACATGTAACACCCATAATGATGACATGTAACACCCATAATGATGACATGTACCACACATAATGATGACATGTAACACACATAATGATGACATGTAACACCCATAATGATGACATGTAACACACATAATGATGACATGTAACACACATAATGATGACATGTAACACACATAATGATGACATGTAACACCCATAATGATGACATGTAACACCCATAATGATGACATGTAACACACATAATAATGACATGTAACACCGGAATGATGACATGTAACTGTTCTGTAACCATGGTAACCCTGTATCCTTGCAGCCTAGTGTGCAGCTGAAGCGACCAGGGAAGGACGTTCATCCTGCCATGAGTGCGGTCATCCTGGGGTGGCTCATCTGCCAGAGGGAGATGCTGGTCAGTCAGACAGTCTTCTCTCAGGAATAAAGAAACGGCCATTTTGTTTGTCATAAGGAGGTTTTTTAAACAAACTATACAAGATATGTTATAAAGTTGGCTGTTGGCAAGTGTGATTCCCATGACACATCAATGGCCTGTTTGGTAAGATCACACATGTATTGTGTAATTCAGTACAAGGGACAGCTTCTTTCGTCAAAGGGGGTTAACTAACTATAAAAGTCCAGCTCCCACCCTTGCCAAACTAGGCTGGTATTCCGGAGTTACATTTTGGCTGGATTAACAAGTCTATGCATAGTCCAATCAAAATCGCGTAATGAACTACATGTATTTCAATGTGCACGTCTCGGTCGACTGAAGGATTTGCAAAACATGTGTACCGCCAATTTTATGTTGATAGATACTTTAATCAAGGTGCTCAAGTCATTTGATGTTTTTCGAGGCATAAGATCCGTTTTATTGCAATATAGATCTTGGTTATCAATCAGA